AGGTTTTATTCTCCACATCACTAACTCGTTCCAACAGCTCGAATTTTTTCACCAATTTCTGTATTGCGGTCCGACAAGGTGCTTCACGACGACCCAAAAATGTTCGAGTTTTACAAACCGTCTCTGCCAAATTTTCACCATTTTTATAGTGAATTTTAATAATTTCATTGCGTTGTTGAAGCGTGTATCGTTCCATTTTTATTAATGGCGTAGTGTCTACTTGTCAAATGTCAAAAATTGACAGCTTCAAAAGTGACATCTACCGAAATAGCGGGCTATTCAAAATAACACCTCTTATTGAAAAACCCTATATTTGTATACTTAATAAACCAAACATAAAATATAAAAATAACTAACACATGATTTCGGAATAAATGATCTAACCCAATCAATTCATATATGACAACTATAACATGTATTAAATATAAATTAAAGAGAAAATTTGATCTAAAAGTATATTTTTTTTACAAATATAAGGTCAAAATATACATGTGCACAAAAATTAGCTGATACCCTTTTTAAAAATATGCCCGTGGTCTTAAATGTTGCTCGGGAATTTCAGGCGATGGCCCTGGCATCTCGAGTATATAAAAAAAAAGATAAGTTAGTTAAAAAATGAATGGATTGAATTAATTTTTTAATATTTCAGAAATGTCTTTGGACAGATCTGGTGAAAATTTCAAACCTTAAGTCATAAAATGGTCAACATTTTTAAACGCTCGCGGGTGAGCGGCAAAAATTTTCCCGGATGTAATATTATATCACTTACAATCAGAGGTGTCGTGGAGCGTATACCCACTGTTAGTTTTCTTATTAGTGCATATACGTATTTATAAAATAGTTAAAGAGTATAGACTAAAGGATAAAATAAAAAGTAATACGTGGGTATCGAATATAGGTACGTTTGTCATAAAACACAAATTTTGAATAACTCTTATCAGTTTGTTTAATCTCTACAGTCATACCACATATAAACATATACCTGAAGTTATAAACACACAAATATAGCTCGAGACTATTATCATTTTAAAAATAGAATATAAATGTAAAACAAAACACTGTCGAAGTGTATAAATAAATATCAATAAAATAAATAGGATAATGTTCATCATTTCACGACAATTTTATTGACATTTGACAAAATTTAAAACATCGACCAGAAATTAACGATATAGCACATACTAAGTTGAAACTGAAAGTTATTGGGTTAACCTATAGCTGTTGAAATTGGTAATTTGTATTTTTCCGTAATAAACCGTTTACCAACCAATCTAGTATTTAATATATTACCNCATAAACCGTTTACCAACCAGTCTAGTATTTAATATATTAACTATAATGAATTAAGATAGTGCTAACATGTACCTATTCACGTTTATTTCATTTATGTTCTAACGATTTGAAAACAATGATTGTAAGATTATTTTATTACTGCAAAAAGTTTATTGTTTATTTATAAAAAATATAACGGTATCTAATAATACACTTATCGATTGTATGACTATGAAATTTAATTTATGTAAGAACTTAGAAGTGTCAGTAAAAATATTCGAGTAATAGTTTGGAAGTTGGAAGGAGCAACTGGGAGGGTTAGGAGTTTTAGTTGCATTATGTAATAATTAGAAAATACATATTTTTAACACAGTTAAAATATCACAATATTTGTATTCCGTCCCCCAAAACTATGTTATAGTTAAGGCCTTTGAAATGTAGTGTGGGGGTGAAATTCCCCACGTTTCCTCATTTAGGTTTTTAACTTATCTATTGATCAAATTACGACTATATCACTGTTGATAATGTGAAATATTGTATGTAGAAAATGTAAAATGCAATGGAGGTGTGGGGGGCGGAGCCCCCCACGTTATTCTCTATTCATTATATAGGCGTATACCCATAAACATTTTTAGGACTACACCACTGCTTACAATATTAGGACGATATATGATGTTATATTTTGTACATGTATGAATTCAGTGTGTTTGATCTAACGAACATCGCGCTGGTAGACAAAGTTAAAAGCCACAATTGTTTTAATTCAAACTGAAATATAAATTAACTTAATAATTATTTTATTGAACTAAGTGTATTGCAATTCTATACTTAATGAGTAGCTAGTTTCTCGGCTTAATGTATTTAACCCCCTTGATAAAATTTTTACACAGATATAAATATTTTTGAATCTTGTTTTGCTCGCCAGAAGAAGTTTTAAAAAGTATTGGTGTCGATCTCTTAATAAAATACTCTCTAAAATGATACTTATTCAACAAAACGAAGTAAAGGTACACTATTAAATTATATTTATAATAAAAATATAGAATCTTTTACATATAAAAAAACCAGTCGTAGATTTTGTGTTTCATATTATTTAGAATTAAATTGTTTTTTAAACAGTCATATTGACTGTATAATGCGTAGTGGTACAACTTATGAAATTCAAAATCAATATTAAATTGTTCAAAATATCGTTACGTTACGTAGAATACAAGGTAAGTCCAAGTTTTATTTATGCTTTCAATCCACAAACAATCTATTGAGTAATAGACCTTTAAGATAAATTATAAAATTTTGTCAGGGATATTTAACATCATTTATTCAATAGTGTTCAACTCCGAGATCAATCCATTATTTTGTCATAAACGTTTGTGTTTATTTTATTTATTTGACTATTACCCTTAAATGCTCAGCCACCGTTTACTCACCTTTCTAAACCCCTTTTTTATTTATATCATTACATCCTTTACACCCTTGCATATTTTGCCTTACTTAACCACATATTATTTCATCATATATTATTTTATCTCTCTCTCTTATTTAATTTCTTTTTAGTTTAATACACGGAGTCTCGTAATCAAGTATTTTCGTTAAAAATTTTTTTTGAAAATTGGAGCACTAAATAATTTTCCCAGAAAAGCGTTTTTTTTTCTTGTTCTATTATATAATAAAATATATTAAATTATTTAATAGTATATTTATTTTTTTATTTGTTTCATTAAACGCGTAGTTAAAATTTTTAGGTATTAATATAGGAAAAGGTATTTTCTTTTAAAATATTGGAAAAAAAACAACATTTATTATTTAAAATGACATATCTGAGCTAATTTCCCGCAATTCGGGTATATCTTTATACGAAACAGTTCATCTGGTTTTTCGAACCCACATATCTGGTTTTTTTTTTAAGTTAGGCTCTTAAAATTTAATTATAGCTTAAGATCTAGTAGTTTAGAACGCCGTAAAAAAATGAGCTCTTAGTCTTTTCAAAATATAACTAAAAACATCCTAGACGCTAAATTTGCTGGGACCAGTTAAAATGATAATTTAGCTGTTTTCAGAAGCTCTGCTAATACGATATTGTATAGTGTGATGCACACCTCTAGGCAAGAAGTTTACACTATAAAAAAAAATTTAACTCTCAATTTCATCAGACTATGTGGATCATTACAGATACAATGAAGTCTACACTTACTTAATAGCTATCAATTGTCGATAACATAGCTTCTTCATATTTGCGAAGGAATGATTGAACTACATGTGTTCATTTATAATAAATCAGTTAATTTGTTTTGTATTATTTTTTTCAATGTTACAAAAGAAAATAATTTTTTCTCATTTTAATATCAGACAGACAATATGAACTACATTAAATAAAAAAACTAAACCCAGTATTTGTTAATAAAACAAACAAATAATTTATATGATATTAAATTTTAAATAATTATTTATGTAACTTTGTCTATAGGTTGAACATTTCGTATACATTATTTAAATAATTCAATAAAATCCATTTAATCGGTTGTTTTAAAAAAAATGCATTTTGGTTAAATTTTCAATCCTCTTATGACACGTGTTAATTATTTTCTTTACAATATAAAAATTGAATGAAAAAATGTCATGGTATCTTCTAAGAGTCGCATTTCCCTTAGGGAGAAATATACCCTTTAGTGTTTAATATTACTGGATGTAATACCATAAGTATCACAATTTTATACTAACTCTTGATAGAATTCGTGCAAAATAATTTAGTTGGGCTCTTAATATTTTTTATAAAAAAAACTGAACATTATTTTGCTAATCAACTTTATTTGTGTAAGCATACTTCGTACTCAACTAGCGCCGTTATAGAGTTGTTATACAAGAGAGAATGAAGGTGTTAAACATAATTGAACAAGAATATTTATATTTTAAGGGATACATTGCTTTCTGATAATATAATAGTTCAATAACTTTGATAAATAATAAAAATCAATTTCTTAAAGTCATTAACAATATAATTTTTAAAATATTATACAAAAAAATATTCATTCATATTTTACATAATATATGCTTTTTGTTAAAGTTTAATTTTTTATATAATGTAAATAAAAACAAATTTCTGGTACATAAAATATACCATTAAAGTAAAACAATAATGAACACTTAAATAAAAATGGAAAATATGACTTGTTAAGTCAAATATTATATATACGTTACTTTGAGGGAATAACAAATAAGCTCGTAACAAATTATCATGTAAATTATAAAATGTGATATTTTTTCATAAAACAATACGTGACTACTAAAAAAATGGTTTTTACACATAATTCAGCTACACAAAAACTAGTTTTAAAAATCTTGCTGCTAAAATTAAGTTATATTTAATTGATGTTTAAAAGTATTAGTCACGACAATATTATATTCCTTTCAAAACCAATTTTTTGAACATTAAAACATTTCAAAATTAATAAAATTTTACCTCTTTATTTTAACAAATCATAATATTCAACAATATGTTAAATATGAACTTTATGAGATCTCTTCAAAGATATTTCTTTTAAAATTCTACCATAGTAGTTAACAATTTCAATATAATCTTAAAAGAAAAATTAGGTTTAATTTAGCTACATTTAATTGACCATTATTTTTTTAAATAATACAAAAGAACTTGTAGAGATATGTATCATTGAAATAATACATTTATGACATATACATGGACATAGTGGTAAAAATGAATATAAAACACTAGCTCAAATAATTTGTTTAATCTATCGACAAATTGTTAATTTAATAGATTTACATTTTTGAGCATTGGATTAATATAAAAAATGTATTTATATTAAATAAATAGCCACAATATTTCATTAAAGTTTAATAAGGCACATTTGAAAACAAATATGAGACAGATTCGCCATTATGTGTACGTCGTACAGCCTCAGCAAACATCATTGATACATCGATGCACTATTAGAGAAATAAAATGAATTATATTTTAAAGATAATTAGAATATTTTTTTTATTTTACTTACACGAATTTTAGGACACTCTTTCATATGACCGTCCTGTGGAATGGTGTTAGTTACTACTACTGCTTCAAAACAAGCACTATTAATACGAGATATCGCTGGTCCAGAAAATATACCATGAGTTAATATTGCATATACTTTAGTAGCACCCGCTTCAGTTAATCTTGTAAATAAAATTTTTATAATTAATTTGAGATAATTCTTAGTAATTATTTAATAATTACTTTTCAGCAGCATGGCATATTGTACCACATGTATCAGCCATATCATCAACTAATATAGCAATACGTTCTTTAACATCACCTACCAGTACCATAGAAGCTACTTCATTCGCTTTTTTTCGTTCTTTATGAATAAGAGCAAATTCAACATTTAATCGGTCAGCAATTGACGTAACTCTGAAAATATATTTTTGTTAATTTAATGATTATTAATATATTTAATTTGAAAAAACCTTTTAGCTCCACCAGCATCAGGTGATACTATAATACTATTTCTCCATTCAGATATATTTTCTTTAATCCACTTGAGCACAGCAGGTTCAGCAAATAGGTTATCAACTGGTATGTCAAAGAAACCTTGAATTTGAGATGCATGAAGATCCATAGTAATAATATGATCAGCACCAGCCACTGAAAGCATATTAGCAACCAATTTAGCTGATATTGGTGCTCTGCTCTATAATTCCATATAAACAAAAAATTATTAATTATTTTAATTTTAATAACAAATAAATTTTGGAATTTGTTTTGTTTTAAATCAATTTTTAAATTTCATCTAGCTTTTAGCTCACTAAACCAAAATACAGCCATACACCAAGAAGCAAACCCCGAGGATAAATATTATTAGTGTGTGGCTTGGTCAATCAGTGATAAAATTGGTAGTTTCGAGCAAAAGTAAATAAAATATAACATTAGTATTATAAATGATAAATAACTAACGCCCATTTAATTTAAACAACAATAATTTTCATAAGTATCCACTGATAAACCAACCACTTAAAGTGAAATTAGTTGGTGGTTTTAAATTTGCATGCATACAAGAAATATACAACATAGAATAAAATATAATAGTTACTTATTTATGTTTTAATATACACACTTAGATACCAGTATGGAAGGACTAAAGTAACAAACCAGAATTATTACACTAATTCACCAAAGAAAGATGCATGTTAATATCTAGTTAAGAAAAATCAGATGTGTAAAGAGAAAGATATATTGTTAGTTATACTTAGTTTATAATGTAAATTTACAATATTATACAAGAAGTATCAAAGTAAATAATTATAAGGGCCGAGAAAATAAAAATGTAAAGCTCCATTAACATGTTCTTATAACTAAATAACATATTCGGACAATTGTCATATCTACTATTACAATTAAAATTTTATTCAAGTTAATTATATCTTAAAAATTTACAAAAATGTTGTTATGCATTACATACTCTTTTGTATTTATTTTTCTAAATCTTACTAATCCTAATAACTTTCAATATATAAAACTATTAAATTTATATATTACTATGAATAAAAATAAGAAGTGAATTCAAACTGATAATATTATTTTATATTTTTTTTTTATACTAATATTAAAGTAATCTTTAACAAAATTTTCAAATTATTACAAGAAATTAAAAACAGCGTTTTTGCAGATTACATGGTATAATTTCTGCTCAATAGAGGTAAACTATATATGTCATATTTATTTTGAATTATCTTTAAAAAAAAAATTGTTACTTGTGATATTTTACTTCTGGTATATAGATTTAATTAAAAATATTATGTTTTGTTTAAAAACTAAGTTACTTGTGTTAAAAAAATCAATAATTTTAATAACATTTGAACTAATAAAACTCATGCTACGGTAAATTAAATTTTTTTTATTTGTGAACTATTAATTTATTTAGAACCTGATAACTGACCATATAATCACAAAATAATTCCTGTAAAAAGCAAAAATTGTAATGAATTTTATATCAATATCAAACTAGTGATTTGTGCACAATTTATTTTAATAACAATCTACTTTCATAATATTTTTTTCAATCTTATCATTTAAATTAAAATATATATATATATAAATGAAGTCGTATTAAAATGTTTTAAAATAATGAGTTTTGTAAGTTTTTAAAATTTGGTTTTTACTTTATATCTATAAAATCTCATAATTTGTCTATTTCTTTTTATCATTAAATGAAAATTGTTCATATTTGAGTATAAAAAATTAAGTTTAGTTTGAAAATGAAAAGATAATGATGTAATATAATTATATTATTACATTAATACCAATATTGTCATTAATTACACAAAGAAAAATATGACATAAGATTATATTAAATGAAAATATGTGCAAAGGTTACTGGGGTTCTAAATGTTTACAAAAGCTATTGATGATTCAAGATGGATTATTGACAATATTGATATTATAAACACAGAATTGTGTTAAATACATAAACATTATAACAAAATATTTTTTTTATACATTTTTGGGTGATAATAAAACCATAAAATAAACAATTATATTATTTATTTACTATAAAACATGTTTGTAACTAAATTTTCATTTTTATTTTTTAAATATCCTTAATAAAAACAAATTTTTAATTTTACTTATTATTGTTTTAAATTTCTTTTATAATATAAACATTTCTATGATGCAAACAACATAAAAAATTCAAGAGAGTATTGATAATCAAGTAATAAAGTGTAATTTGTTTGGTTGAATGTTAAGTTAATAAGTGCTAATGAGAGTGCAGCAATAATTTGGTTTATAACACACCTGAAGTGTCTTAAATAATTAGAATGTCAATGAAGCATTGCTGTAATTCATAAACATTAAATTTGGCATAGTATCAGAATTTCTAAGATATAAGCTTGTTTATAAAAATACAGTGTCTGTTAAAGAAGTACAACAAATAAGTTCCAAAACTTTAAGGTGAATTGAGTATTATTTTTAATTTACTTGCAATAACAAATAAGCTATCTGACTATTTAAAAGTAAAAATAAGATTCACCGTTTACAGGTTTTAAGCATTGACAGCTATTAATTACAATAATGACGCAGTGACAATTACAATGTTATTTATGAATGGAAATTCTAAAATTGAACACATATTAAAATATAGTTCAACAAACACATGAGATACAAATAAATTTCCCAGAAGTAAGTTAAATAAGAATGCGCTTAATAGTGCCCAGATTAATATATTATTTTTCATTGAATAAAACTATACCCGAAACTTCCATTCATTGCACTTGACAGAGGCCCTTGATCTAATATTGTCATTCTCGGGTACGTCGCCATTCTTTGATTTACAGCATATATAGCGAAAAATAATTAGTTAACAGTATAATGAAGTAAGTAATTAAAGTTACAACTAAAAGAAATGTATTATCTGGAAAAACAACGAACTTTAACTTATTTAAGAATCTAATACAAATATAAGGATATTATTGTACAGTTAAACTAATAGAATTGCTCTGTGTTATATGAATCACTTAAATTATAACTATAATTTAGTTAGTGAATATGATTAAAATCACTTAATTAGAACTCAAATTAGCAAATATACTTTTAATTTAGTTATATAATTTTTTTTGTTTTGTGCAAAAAGAAGAAACCTTTCCATACTTAAACCATACCTTTAGTAAAATATAAGCAAAATTTATTTTTAAGTTAAAAATGCTTCTTTTTCTGTTAATGCAAATATAATTTAATTAATATAATTTAATATAATAGAATACAATTGCTTATTCACTTAAAGAATTGTTCCCTTGCAACACACGATTATGATTTTGAGTACAACTTATTTATTACATTTTTAGTATTTGTAAATAAATCTATAAAAACTGTAATCAATAAAGATCTATATAACTTAAGGTAATTTTTATTTTTTTTATATTAATATTCCTTAAAAATTAACAGTGATTTTAATTATTGAGACGTAATGAATAAAAATATTTAATTATAAAAGTTCATATTAGCATGTATTTACAAATACTGATATACTTATGATACCTTAGTTAAATAAAATTAATAATTTAAGTTACATAGAGTAACTTACCTTATCTTTTTTATCTTGCCTTGCATAAGGAAAACATGGAATCACAGCTGTAACTCTAGAAGCAGATGCTATTTTACATGCATTTATCATAATCAACAATTCCATCAAGTTGTCATTAACTTCTCCACTACCACTCTGCACAATATAAACATCTTCTCCTCTGACTGATTCACCAATTTCAACACTAAAAATACATAATTAAACAAAATCATTCAAGTTATGGGAAATGACATATCTGATATGATATCTCATACTTTGATAAACAGATTATTGATATATTAAACATTTTTGAGATTGAATAAAAAGTACACAGTACTCAATAATTACATATAAAAAATTCCAAATATATAGAAATAAATTACAGGAATCCTGTTGAACTATTATTTGTTAATATTTTTAATTGAATAATGGTTAAAGAGCAGCTATTTATGTTATCAAAACTTAAGTTTTATGCAAAATATTTCTGAAAAACCTATCTTTATTTTGTTATTCTTGAAAGTAAGTTTTCATTTTGACAATTATCTTTTAATTGGTTTTTATTTTTAATCCAATCAAATTTTTAATATAAAATATTTAATGCATTTATATATATAAACAACCTTCAACATGTATGCTAGAGCTATAAAAAAATATCCAACTAAATAAATTGACTTTTTTTTTTTCAAAATACAGGAATTATGTGAAATATTAAAAAAAAATTTTTTGTTAAATAATCATAATTATGAAAACACATATTATAAGCCCTAACATAATTATTTTTACAGAAGAAATAAAACTAATAATTTTAAATACAGTTATCAGGTGAGATGAACTTTTTTTTAAGTAACAAACTTGTCATCAGACTACAAATATCAATATTATAACCAAAATTAATGATAATAAAACATTTGTCACAGTTGATATAAAAAATATTCATGTTGTATGTACAGTGATTCATTAATTATGAACCACTTGATGAATGAAAATTAAAAAGTTAGATTAAGAATTTTTTTTAATATAACTATTATAAAGCATTTTTTATGTTCATCCCTTATACACTATAAGGGTGTCAACCTTACTTTTTCAAATGGTAATATACATAATTAACTAATTTATTTAATAGATAATGATCCAAAGAAAATGACTGGTTAAAAACATCTTTTGGGCCAGTATTTCGGAAATTATAGATACTTTTATTTTTAGGCGGGAGGAAGAGTACGAATGAGAAATTATTGGTGATAAAAATAGCAAAATCCGCGTCTCATCATCAGCCAATATGATAAATGAATCACTCTGTATTCCTTTAGTAACCAATGACGATAATGACTAAACAAAGAACAATCTGATCAGTCAATACGTCAAACTGATATTGTAAGAAAAAGCCCGAAGTAATAACAATAGTAAAATACAATGAATATTACTTAAAAAGAGCAAACATTACATCATTTTTATAAACAATTTAAATTCTCAATTCTATTTTGACGTAAATGAGAATAACTTTCATTTAATACGGTTCGTTAAATTAGTATAGTTAAATAATTAAACCATACTAATACGAAAAACAAAATCAGGTTTAATAAATCAGTAAAGATAAATGTATAATTATCACACTTGAAATTAATTTATCTATAGTATACTTATAATTGTCAACTTTAAATTTCCAACAATCGTAGTATTATCAAGAAATAGAGTAAGGTGTGAACATAGTAATTGACCGTCTATCATAAAAAAAGTGTCGCATGTTTGGGGAAAAATATATAAATTCTACAGAATAGCATGTGTTTTTTCTATGTAAAGAGCGGCAACACGNGAGGTGTGAACATAGTAATTGACCGTCTATCATAAAAAAGTGTCGCATGTTTGGGGAAAAATATATAAATTCTACAGAATAGCATGTGTTTTTTCTATGTAAAGAGCGGCAACACGTGGTACGTGATCAACCAAGGCATTCTCATTTTATCATAACCTAAAAAATTTAATACCGTATGATTAAATGGATAACAGAAGCATTAAACGAGGTAACGCCAAAAATTAATATCATCATAGTAGATGATAATTGGTTTGAAATTGGTTAAATATTTCCTTGTAGACATTATACTCTTATAAAGTACACAAAAATCAATATCTATTTTGAAAATGGCGGATGCTTAATAGTTACGAAACTAAATAGATAGGTTTGAACGAATACAATAACGATATTTTCATAATTTTTCAGAAATGGAAATTCAACTCGAAATTTTTTTTAAGTTGAAAATTCAGCATCAACAAATTAATTAAACCCTCACCATGTTTCCAAATTACTGAATTTTTTGGTGACAACTTTGCCAACGTCTATGCCCAAACGGTCGACGATCCGCTGCGCCAGATCTGGATGCGACGTGCCACTGAATACCTTGATATTCGGCATTCTCGTGCTATGGACGTTAGTACGCGGCGCGACCAAATTGGATTTAACTAAACACCTGGCGCGAATACACTCGGCTGATAACAAAGGCATACTACCGCCGCGTTCATCGTCTAACAACTACAAGCACAATCACAAACCTCCTCCCTAACAACTGCGCGCGTTCTCCGCAGTCCCCACCGACTACAGCGGTGGCGCAACGGGCGGTCGACTCCACTTTGCACCGTCCCTGCGAATTCGAAGGTCGCTGCTTTCTTAACGTCCAACTCCCACATAGGGTAAATTGTAAGGTTGAATTTGGATAACCTTATTACCTAGATTAAAAACTTGAATAACATTCAATAACTCGGAACACACCTTTTTATACTTTTAGATAAAAAAAACACGTTGGCTCAAAAATTTCACCTCAGGTAGAAAATAATGAACAATGATTACTTATGCGATATTTATTCATCTAATATTTACACGAAATAGAAATGTTAAACTAAGTATTTCAAATGAAAAAAAGTATTAAACAAAAACTAATTAATATGAATAAAATTCTTAATAATAACTATGAAATGTTTTTCTGGAGGTCCTGAGGTACACTGGTAATACTGTTTTTGTTCGATAAAAATTAATTTTAGTTCACTCGGCTAAATATGGTTCTATAATCTAAATTTTTACACAAATTCAAGTAATTTTGTTCAATTTTTTTTTTTGTCAAATTTTACAATTCATAGTAAATATATGATCAAAAAATGTATGTTAGTTTGTTATAAAAACCTAAATTAATTAAATAAATTCTCATAATTGTAAAATAGAATCAGTAATATTTATTTTTAAACTTTAAAGTTAATTATAAAACTGAATAAGGACGTTTATATCAATCATTATAGTTAACAATACATATCTCCTTAAAAATAATTATTATGTGAAAATCTAAATAGTTGACAAATTTGGTCAATCATAACAACTATTTAAAACTAATGAACATTCTGTNTGAATAATTTAATGGGGCCTTCACTTAATTCAAGGTCCCCGTAATCTTCGTTACGCTACTGCTCTGTGCTTTTGATTCCTAGACAGGCCTATTGTTAAAATTTCAATCCTACTTTAAAGACTGCATCTAAATAGTTGACAAATTTGGTCAATCATAACAACTATTTAAAACTATTTATAACTAATGAACATTCTGTAAAATTGACAAAGTGTAAATAGATTATGTTTTGAATATTTGAACATTTGAACGCCATTATTAATANATCTAAATAGTTGACAAATTTGGTCAATCATAACAACTATTTAAAACTAATGAACATTCTGTAAAATTGACAAAGTGTAAATAGATTATGTTTTGAATATTTGAACATTTGAACGCCATTATTAATATTATGTTTATATGTTAAGCTTCTTCTCAGATTTTTAAAAATTAATGATATATTTACACTACTAAATTTTTTTCACATTTTTGTTATGAAGTATTATAGACACTGAAATTATCAAAAATAAATATAATTTTTAAAAAGTTGCATCATTTATGACGTACCAGTTTTTTTAGATCAAAACATCACTTAAAAGATATGTGCTACATAACTGTCCACGTGTTTTCCTTCCTTCAAAGTTTATATTCTTACTAGAAATGTAGCATTTTTCAATAATAGAAAAATTGTTAGTATTTACAAAAGTCTAAGTTGCGTCAATCAAAGAATTTAAACATTTTTTAGACTTTTAATAGCCTCTTCAACACATTTTATTTTAAAAACACTGTATTAAATATTATAAGATATATTATGTCTTCTGAATTATATGCTGTTTAAAATTTGTAATTATTTTAGCAATTATGTTATTGGAGTTTAACTAAGAAAAGAGTTAAAGTAGAAATGCTCGTGGTCCCTGAATATATTATTTTGTTCAATTATACAATTTTTATTTATTTAGGTGATTGTACAAATTTATAAATAAGTATAAATAGAAAGATGGGAAGATATAATTCAATTTATACATACATCGAGGAGTCACATTTTTCTATTTAGTTAATATTATTTTTATATAATTAAGGGTAATAATTAATTGTTTTAATCAATATCTTAGAACTAAATACGCATTTTTTGCTTTAATATAAATCATTTAGTAGGTGACCATGTTTGTTTGGCTGACTAACAAAATGTGTACAAGCTTGAAAATAATAGACGAATTAAAAAACAAAACAAAATCATAACAAATTCATTATGGTCATCTAAATTTTGGAAATAATCCAAGTGTAAACTTGTTTTTTTTTAACTTATACTCTTAGCAAAAGTAGGTTAAAATTAAACTTATAATTCTATTTAACACTTATTTTTAAATTAAAAATTACTCACTTTATATTATTATGGAGAAAAAAATTAGAACATTTTTTATAATTATGATACATAATATATTTTTTAAAACATTATTTAATTACCGTTTTAAGTAAATTCTTAACTTTAATTTGAAGTACATGGATAATATCATTTGTAATTTTTTCATTGACCTATTTGCTACAAATGAAAATTCTTAGATATCAAATAAATAAGTTTACAAATCAGATTGTACTTATAACCTCTACTTCTTTACAAAGCTCCCTGCAATCATAAAAATTATATTTATAAAATAATATTTAATTAATAATTCAGAAGTTAAATGTTACTAGCCAAATAAATATTTAAGATTAAAAATTTAATTTAATTATTACACTATTTACTGGGATCTGGATCTCTTACCTGTATATGCCCATCTTATTCTTATTCCGAGAGTGAAACAATTGTTCTATGGAACAATTTGGGTTGAATTTTTTTCTTATATAGGAGTATTAATCATTATTGTCTTAATATAGAATAGTCAAAATATTCTTGTTATCTTGTTTTTGCACGGAGCCCTTCAATTTTCTTGCATACATAGAATTGAACATATATAATATATATATTTAATAGCTTAAGATCTTGTTCTAGAGGTGAAACAAGGGGCGTAGCTAAGGAAGGAATGGCGAGGATACATCCCCAGAACTAAACCCTAATTACACCACTGGATGGGAAGAATATTTGTATTATTTTTTGCAGTATATGTATAAAACATTAGCTTTTACTCGTTTAAAAAGTATATAGATTTTATATTTAATTATTCTTAGTTATAAAAGTATTATTTTTTGTTATTTTTACATATATTGCATTTATTACTTAAAAGTTAATGAACAATTGTAATATATATTACCCTTGTTTTAAAAAATTAAATAAATTAATGATATAATTTTTTCTTTACAGAAGTAAATAGAACGTTAAATAATTTACAAATAGAAGTTTGTTTCTATTTCCCTTCTTTTATTCTTAAATTTAGTTTAATTAACTTACAAACTAGAGAATGATGAAAGAAAATGATTGATCAATAGTAACTTTTGGCTTAATATTTTGGATGTTATGACTCTTTAACTAAAGGTCAAGTGTTGGTCTGTTTATTTTTATCTTTAGGAACTATAAGCGCAATTTGAACAAAATGGTTGGGGGATCTAACTTCTGTTTTCCCCATTCAAACTATTTTTATATAAATCAACATGTAATTTTCATAATTTTAGAGGGCTACGATTGAACTAGAGAAGGCTAAGCCCCTTCTAGACCCCCAGATTGTGCTTATGTCAGATATTAATGATCCGCAATAATTACATTCAAAACAGTAGTCCAAGTGTTGATATTTATATCTTAAAAATCATTGTCTTAGATCACATTCTAGTTTGTCAGATAGTTAAACATTTATGTTTCCATTTAAAAAACTAAAGTTGATATAATTTTGAGGAGAAAGAATGGGTATTTGAACAATTTTTTTTTTAAATTATAGAAAGTATGATGCTATTAACTTCCAATAATAAAAAATAATATTACATTATATATTTTTATAAATATTGCGCGAGTTATTGTGAAATAATATCTCTGTATATATGTATGCTTAGGCATTCTTAAGAAGAGTAAAGGGGATAGAAACTCTCCAACAATGAAGAAAGTTACATGGAAAATATTTATGCGTTTCAACCCTTTCAAAATACAATGTTACAAGATGTTAAAAAACCCTAACATTTTTTTAAGAAAACCCATGACTTTACACATCCTTCTTAAAATTCGTTACTACTGAAAAAAGTGATCAAAAGCTATCTTCAACTACTAGTAGAATAATGTTTATTTTGAAAAAATCGTTAAATATACATTTATCATTAACCATTTATCAATTTAATTAAATGTGGTAAGGTTATCAAACAAATTTAAGGTTACTCATTATTATCTACAAGCCATAATATCACCATTGGTTTTAAATTACTCTGAATTATAAATTATTTAACGATGTATTTTCCAATACATATATTACAAATTATTCTCCAATAAGAATAATAATTTTAAATTACATTATTAAGTATAAACAAAATTTTTAACTTTTAGAGTTTAAGCTGAATAAATATAAACAAATAAATTTAATATTTAAAATTTTTAACACTCCTGTTGTTTCTTTTATATTATTGAAATTATAAAAATAATATTTTACAATTTTTTTATGAAAAATATTGATGAATAGAAGTCATAGATTTATTCAATATTTGAGTTCGTTAAAATTTGTTTAATACATTATGTAGTCAGGCTGATATCTAGAATATTTATTCGAGAGGGGTCAAAATATGTCTACATGTATAGCTGGGTTGGGTTTATAACAATCTATGTAACAAATGAGGCAGTAGCTTATTTTTTCTCATTATTAAGAGTTTAAAAATAAAATTGACTCTCTAATTATATCCCATATGTTTATTAATATTCTAAATAGTTTAATTTCTTTTTCAAACCAATTTTTTGATATTTTGATGAAAGTTATTATAATAAGAGTCAATCCTTAATTCAAATACCTCACTATTTCAAAATCGAATTATTTAGTTGCTGTCTTTTTCGATGTGCATAATTATATACAAATGTATATAATGAAAAAAATTGGAGGGGTTTGGTTAGGTCAGAAAATAGCCTTGTCTGTAGTATTCTGAATGATTATTCCAAAATTAATAGATTAATGAAGTTTAAAAAATGTATTAAGTGTTTACCACCTGAATTCGCATCAATCTTTATCGCGGAATTAGTGAGGTATATGGAATTCAATTTATGTATTAGAAATATAAGGTAGGTAGCAGCGCGAAAACATCTTTGCCTGGAACTGATAATGCTCCGACATTTGACTAAGTACCTGTAGTAATTGTTTCGAACGTCTGGTACTCCGACCATCTGATACCATAATCATGACGGATTATATTCCGACATTAAATTAAGAAAAATAAGTGATGTTATATTTTGATTGTATTATAAGTAATAGGGCGAATCGATCGTTATGTTGCAACGTCAGGGTCACGTTGCTTTAACGTTTTTGTGTTTTGAATTCTTAATGCGTAAGAACCTACTACATTAATAAATTAATTAATTTTTTATTAATAATATATAAACTTTATTCATTAGTGTGTATTACTAAAAAATAATGATTAATATAAACATAAAATTGTTAATATTTGTACAATATAAAATTGGGTGTTCTATGTCCAATTTGACAATGTAGTTGAATGTCTTCAGAAAGAGTTAAAATAACAACTAATTATTTGTTTAGATATTGAACCCATAAACAGAAAACTCTTGAAGTCTAATTGTATCTATTTAATAATTTTGGATGTAGTGCAATAGGACCTCAAGATTGAAAAAGAAATTTCTTCCATGTGTTCCTCATCACTCTTAGGGATGACACGGTTTTTTTTTCCTGTGCTGCATTAGGATATCTAAGTAAAAATAAAAACATAGTATTTCTAACTTCAATGCAATAATTGTTGAATATACTTTTTTTAGTGTTATTACTTTCTGGAAGTTTCTTCCAATAGCACCCAGGTTTGTGTTGACTCAGTGGATGCCCGGCTCCTGAGTTGTATATTATAAGCACCGATCTCCACATCATTATAATGATTATATAGTTGTGCTTGTGGAAGGACCCAATGGGTGCATTTTCTGGCACTAATGCCATGGAAGCAGTGCCCCTACAGCTAGACTTGTAGCGAGTACATCTTAATTGTCTGAATATCAAAGTAAATAAATTAAATAATATAACCTAGTGTTTGCCTGAGAATTGAAAAACATGATTATTTTTGTTTTAAGTCAAACCTATTAGTAGAACTTCTGCTTTATATGTGAGTATAACCATCTTCAGACAAGTAAACTAGTCTACCCCGTACTCCGGGTACTCTGCAAGAATCATTTCCAGTTGTCAACACAACTTCTATTGAAGACCTAGACCAAAATCCATTTTCAATAGCTTGATTTTAATTTCCTTAGTAAATTGTATATATATATATATATATTATTTTAAATATCAATTCATTACCTAATTTAAGTCTCAAAACAATTATATTCATGATAAAAAATTATTAAATTAAGTTTTTTTTTATCTGTTTAAACTCGTAATATTCTTAAATTATTTTCTTAATTTCAATTTATGATTAATTTCAATTTTTCTTTCATCAACTTTAATTACTAAAATTATCTTAAACTTATATATAAAAAAAATTAAAATATTATTAAACTGTGTTAGTTTTGCTACAAGGTTTAATATAAATTATGATAAGAATGAGTAATTTTTGGTTATATAGAAGTAGAATTAATTTTTTCTTATTTAAAAATTCTGTGTGTCGTCTAAGAGTAAAAATTTAAAACTCATTGTTAAACAATTTTAATTTTGTGATATTAGTTTTTTAATCAATGTTTAATTATTAATAAAACCATTATAATCTTCAGTGGTCCTCAAAGAAAAGTTTAAAATATTAAGTAGTAAAAAATAGTTTATTTAAAGTTCTTTTTCTTTAAAATCCAGTATACATTTTTTGAAATCAGTTTGATATTTCCTTAAAAAAAAAAACCTGAATAGATTTTCTTTATTAATAATAATTACAATGAAATTATTATAAAATAAGATTTCACATAATTTTAACAATGTGCACCAATAAATTTTTTCATGGGTATTCCTTGATATTTTATTTATAAGTAGTTAAACATTTTACAATATTGAATAATTGTTATTACCCTTAAAAGTATGTACTTATCACTTGTAAACTAATATTTAATACATTTTTCTTTGTTATTAATAAAGTAACAAAGATGTCAAGTCCATTTAATTTATTTTATACTGTAACTTGTGTATCATCACTTCTATTTGTTAGTAAAAGTATTTTTTTACAAAAGTATTGATTAATTTTAAAATTATATCTAGTTTAAATTGTAATTACAACTGTTCCATGAATGTAATATATTATTTAAAAAAAATTTCAACTCAAAAAATAAACTCTTATACCATTATCATTTACACATAGTATTTATAACTAAATGAAAATTGTAATATTTAATATATATATATATATATATTTTTCAACTTCATAAATTTAGAGTCATGGGCTCAAAATTTCGTTAGGTTCACTGAAAAAATGAAACTGGTAAAATTTGAGTACAATAAGTCAACCCCTTCACGTACCTCAAAAGGGTTGAAGTTCTTCAAAAATGGGGTGGATTTTCTTTTTTTGAGTGTACGCTCTTTATTTTTGAAGTTTCGCCAAAAACACAAAGAACAATTTTTATAGAACTTAACGTGAACAAAAAATAAGGTAATATATTATTTTTTTGTAAAATTAATATTTTTTCGTAAAAATAAGAAAAATCAGTTTCACTTAATTTTTTTTAAAAAATGACATAGTTTTCAGTTATACTTTTCCAGTATCTTAAATTTTAATTGTACGCAAAAATTGCACAAAAGTAATATTAATCACCGTGATATCTTCTATAAAAAAGGTTTTTTGAGTTTTTTTCGAATTACGAATCCTTTCAAAATAAAAATTTAAAACAGCTACGAAATCGTGTTTTTTTTTTTAATTTTTTTTGTATGTATGTTTTTTTGTTCATAAATTAACAAATTTTCTTAGTTATATTATATATATATAAAAAAAATAATATGAAACACAATAAAATAATAATTGTTTATCACAATAATTAGTTTTTCTAATTTGAATATTTTTTATTCAAAATTTCTCGACTACAGCTGGCGATATTGTTGAACCACCTAAAATAGTCCAAAGTAAAGGTTATAATACAAATATAGTAATTTAAAATTTAAAATTTTGCAGTATTATTATAAAATTTCATACTTGTAATATAAATTGCTTTTGATATTCATCCCTTGTAAATTTGTCGCTAAATTCTGTGGTTTACTATTTTTATCGAGGATAATATTTCTTTGGCGTTATTGTATTCATTATTTATTTCCCATATGGTAGGATCTTCATATAAAAACTTGAATTTCAATTTAAATCGCTCGAATAATTTCCATGAATTGTTGCTGAGCAACGAAAAAGGAAGATCTTTTTCTAGGAAATCTGATAAATTTTCATATTTTTAAATTAATTTTTTATTTGAATTTTCATTTTCTTCTGGCTCTTCATTCGTGCTCTGTTCATAACCTTTTAATATTTTTTTTGCCATTCGCTGTTTAGTATTAATGTCAAGTTGATCGTCAAATAAAGAAAACACAGCACACTCATTATTTAAATACCATAAATGGTTTATAAATTTTTTTATAGCTACTTCTCTTGGTTTATTAATACTGTAATTTAATAACATTAAAACATTTATAGGAGCTGTTATAATATTCGTAGCTGAAAACCACATTTTAATATAACATTCAACTACAAAACCACATATATCTTCTAGTGCATTTACTTCTTTTGAAGGCCCAGGTAATTGACTCATTTCTTCAACGTTTTCCTCCATATCAATATCTTCGTCCTCCGAGCTAGAGCTGATATAATATTGAGCTTCGGCCAAATAATAAAATACTTCAGCATATAAAAACTGCTTACTTATAATGTACTGAAATTATTGTGTAATATTTAATAATTACCTGTACAATTTGCGATTTATAATTTCTCTTTTTTCTTTCGATCATCTTCTTCTTCTTGTCGAGTAATTTTACGTATTTCAATACCTGTTAACTTCATATCAATACCAAGCATGCACCCTGGGCGTCCTTTTTTAAGTTGTGACAATAAAAACTGTTTGTCTTTATTAATACTCATCATATTCAGAGATTTGATATGAGAAATGTCAAAGAGGTTGTCTAATTCTTTAGAAAAAATATTATAATGTTGTTCTTGTGTTTCTGTTTTTCTAGATTTATTTTTGTCCAACTTTCTCCATTTCTCATACAATTTTTTTAATTTAATAACACAGTCTAAAGAATATTGTGTAGGAATACGCGCTTTTCTCCAAAATATTAAACACTCATCTATTATAATTATTATTTTATTGTGTTTCTTATTAGTTTTTTTTTTATATATATATAATATAACTAAGAAAATTTGTTAATTTATGAACAAAAAAACATACATACAAAAAAAATTAAAAAAAAAAACACGATTTCGTAGCTGTTTTAAATTTTTATTTTGAAAGGATTCGTAATTCGAAAAAAACTCAAAAAACCTTTTTTATAGAAGATATCACGGTGATTAATATTACTTTTGTGCAATTTTTGCGTACAATTAAAATTTAAGATACTGGAAAAGTATAACTGAAAACTATGTCATTTTTTAAAAAAAATTAAGTGAAACTGATTTTTCTTATTTTTACGAAAAAATATTAATTTTACAAAAAAATAATATATTACCTTATTTTTTGTTCACGTTAAATTCTATAAAAATTGTTCTTTGTGTTTTTGGCGAAACTTCAAAAATAAAGAGCGTACACTCAAAAAAAGAAAATCCACCCCATTTTTGAAGAACTTCAACCCTTTTGAGGCACGTGAAGGGGTTGACTTATTGTACTCAAATTTTACCAGTTTCATTTTTTCAGTGAACCTAACGAAATTTTGAGCCCATGACTCTGAATTTCTTAAAAAATTTTTTTTCTTCTATAACTAAGGACCACCCTAATATATATATATATGATTATTATGAATGTGTAATATATAAATTTACAATATTTTTTTTTTTTAGTTGAGACATAAGTTTGAAATATTTTCTATAAGCTTAATTCCTTTATGCTTTCTTAACCACAAGTCTATATACCTAAAAAAAATAAGAAATTAAAATTTTGTACTGTGTCTCAGGCAACATTTATTCTTATTTATTTAATTTCAATTATTAATATTAATTAAGAATAAATTTATACTCTGACACAGTGAAAATCTTTTATTTATGAGTATAGGGAGGACTTGTGGTTGAGAAAGACATATCACTTAAGCTTAAAGAAAGTATTTTGAACTTGACCATTAAATTAGATATTTAAGTCACAGCTATTATGTTATGCATAATGTATTTTTGAAGTAAAGCTTAAAAACTATACGATGGATAAATTTTTATTTTTACTGCAGTAATTTAAAGAGTTGTACCTGAAGATATTTTTTAGATATTGTTTTAAAAAATAAATAATTGAAATAATTATTAAATTGAAAAAAAAACTAAAAGATGTAAAAAGATTAGAAAAATAGCTGTCGATTCTATTTCACTGATTCGACTTAGGTAAAGGGTGGATGTCGTACATTGCTTGTATAGACCAAATCGTTTTCATATTGTCAGTCTTTTGGCATTTTTGAGATTCCCAGGTGATTAGATCAAAGTCCAACTGGTCATGTTACTTGAGGCGAATTGTCACCAAGACAAATGAGTAAATTCCTTGTCATCGTCACATTCAAAATAGATTTATAGGAAGAAATTCATTGAGATGTTCTGCTATCAATATCCATTAGTAATGTAAGCCTTCATGATCACGATTTTCACTCGTGTATCGATTCAAAGAAAGGCTCATACTTTCAAATATATCTGTAAATCGGAGAAAGTAGGCGATTTTAATTTGGAAATATTTCTCAAACGCACAAAATAAATTGTCTTTTATCGTGTATATAGGTTTTTTCTAATATTTAAAACAGAAGTGAAAAATTATTCGCTTAAGACGAATAATAATAGTGGCAAAAGGCGCATTATCGGCATGCTATTCGTATAGACTGTATTTTTTTGTTTGACGAACTTATATGATGCTGAAAAATAATTTATTTTAACTCAATCTCGATATATAAGTTCTATAGATTCTAAGTTTTAAAAAAATTTTTTAGTGCAAAAATAATCTTATTGATAATTGATTTGTTATACTTTGGCGGACAAGGCCGAAAAAATCCTTTTCTAAAAAATTATAAAATTAACTTAATAACCTATATTTGTCACTCATCAATTTTTTGATATTAATCACAAAAATTTAAGGACGGTGTAAGGGTTAGGAAAAATTATTAAAACTATATCACAAAAAAAATTATCTTTATTTTATTTAAATAAATATGATTTTTCTGAATTTTGGGGGGACTAATTCCTATAAAAAAAACTATGTCCGTATACGAGGTAACAAGGGTGTTCTCTGAATTTTTTATTTGGAAAGTATACATAAAAACGTTTTTTTTTTATTTAAAACATGAGAGACTATAGTTATTGGCTCGTAGTAATTAACAAGTTTCATAACAATTAGATATTTACAAATTTAGTTATTTATGTGTACATAATTTTAAAATTCAAAAAGTTAAATTTTTTTATACTATTTAGTTTGATTCAAAAAAGAAATAACTTTTTCAGTGACTTCATGGTTCGATCCTAGTAATTCGTACAGATTTTCAACAAAAAAAAGACTGCTTCTGATTTTTGTATATTTTCTACAACGAATCTGGTATGTTTCGCACTAAGGTCTTTCCCATAGTGTTCTGGTTCGTCTTGTCGTATGAGGTACTCATGATCGAGCCTAGTGTGCCTTATTCTAAACCTATTTATCACTACTTCATGATGTCTTATCGGGGATCAAGGAAATACATAAAAACATTTTTATACTCCCTCCAAAATATTACCCACCAAAATATAATTATTTTCGTCGTGAGGAGGTTATATTACTCACCGCCGATAACTGCGAGAACACTTATTGTCGATAGTCAAAATTGTTTTTCATACATTTACCTTTTCCATGAATCAACAATATTTTACGATTCATATGTATAATTATAATAATAATTTTAGTATATTAGTTCACTATTTAAATTCTCAAATCGTTTTTCAAATAAATAATAATAGGATAAATGTTTTAATATATTATAGGTCTAATAATGTAGTGTATGTTTTGTGAAAATGTAATGCCAGATTTTATATATATATCTTATATAAAAAGTTTTACTATTTCAATATTAAATTATTATATTTGATTTCCATTTAATGAGAAAAAAATGAACAATTGTTTGATTACTAATTATGATTATAAATTAAAATATTTAACTCTGTACGTAGAATTGACAAAACTTCAGGTAATCATCACACAGATGAAAAAAAAACTCAACAATTTTTTTACTGAATCGACTGCATATTTTTAACTCGAGTTAGTTAAATTTAAAACTAATTATCTTCACAGAAGAGTTAAGTAAGTTTATGATTAATCGTAAACTATTGTCCACTGTTAACTTATAACTGCCTTGTGTTTACTTAATTTGACTAGAGCGTAGGAATATTGTAACAAAATATTTGGGAACTCTAATTACATAATTTTTTACTTATTCTAAAAAATATTTCTATACAACAAGAAATACAAATTAATTCATTTTCGGTATATTCTATGGCAGAATTTTAGGAGACGAAGCCTCCTCAAGTCTCTCCAGATTGCGGTCAATCAAAAGATTAAATCCAAACTGGACTGAATTAATTTCGTTGCCCACCTTTGAACAATGAATGATATTAAATCATTTTTTAGTTTGATTTTATACGAGAATAATTGGAATGACAGTTTTAGAGAATGGGATACCGAATACCTTTATAAAACATTTGTTTAATGACGACTCCTATCATCAGTGACACGTACCCCTATATTTTATTTTACCAAATAATAAATCAGAAAACTACAACTAATTAAATGTTATAATAATAGGCACTAATAAGGAGAGTCAAAAAAGATTTTACGTTCGAATATTGGAATTGCTTTTCTTCCTCCTCAAAAAATAAAACTTTAAAGGCTCACACCAGTAATATAACTGGGGTTGTTTTAGTTTAAAGCCCCCTTCCTTACCTATATGTATCTATTGTATCGATAGTTGGATACATTTCGAGGGTCTTTATTGTAATAATTATTCGTTAATAGATAGTAATCAATAATAACACTATTTTATTATATAAATTAATATTTATTAATTAGTGATAAGGGTTACATTTTTCATCAGATAACATAATAATGATACGATATTCATTTACTCCGAAATTTGATAATTTTTTAATCGATTTCGCGAACAATCGATATTCGAGCAAATTTCATTAGGAGCAAACAATTAATTGTTCTATTCGGAGTAATCAACGTCGTAGTAAAATCCAAATTTTTGTAACTAGGTATTCGCAGTAATTGTTGTCGGAGTAAATGTATTCGTATTTATAAATGATCTTTTTACAATGTCGGATTATATGAATGTCGGAGTATTATCAGTTCGTGGCAATCCCCGTAACCCGGTAGCAGCGCTTTAAATATGAATTTTCCGTTAAAAAAATAGTTCCCGCGAAATTCTCGTTGTGTTTGTTAAAGGATGAATTTTATCAAGAACAACTTGTTCAGATATCAGTTTTAGGTTACTTCTCGAAAGAAGGGATGTTTAATGTAGGTTCTTCTAAGAATAACTAAATTTTATTGACGACTCTTGCAGATAACACATCTCACTGATCTATGAAGGATATTTGAGTTTACTAGTGCAACAAACGATTTGGTTTTTGCTTACGAATTTATACTCAAATTCTATAAGAAAAAATGGGTTCTGTGAGTCTTAAGTTTTATTTATAATTTTAAATTTGACTTTTGAGATTATATGGATATTTTTTTAAAATAAGAATGGTTTGAAATACTATTTTCATAATTTATGAGTAAACAAAAAAGTTTCAACTAATATTCTTTTAAACTATTCTTATATAATAGATAATATTAATATAAATATATATTTTATATTTTATATTTAGTAATAAGATTTGATTTAGCATAAATTATTAAAATACAAATATTTTTGGAATTCTTTTATTTATTAAAATTTTAATAGTTATAATAAATTTCACTTTTTAGAAAAAGAAAAAAGAAAATGAGTTAGTTTTGACAATAGAGGATGTTTTTTGCATTGCTTGTAGATGTATTTATTTAAAACCAGTTACAATGCCTTGTGGACATACTTTATGTCTTGACTGTTTCAAAAATATGGTTGAGATAACTGCATATCAGTGTCCAACATGCAGGTTACGTATAAGTAATTGGCTAAGAAAATATAAGCATAAATGGGATACTATGATAAATGAAAAATTATGGGCAGCTATACAAAAACAGTTTCCTTTAGAAATTAAAAAAAGATTAAATGACGAAGATGACGGCCTTGAAGAACGTAAATTTAATACTAGAATTATATTAATAGAATATTCATAACATATTGAAATTAATACTTTATTACTTTATATGGTAATTATTTCTCAGGTATTGTTAGTCAGGGTTTCAATCGTATTTCTATAGAACCTGGTGTGATTGCAAAGGAATTTGAAGATATGAGAAAACAATTTGAAGAAGAACAAAAAAAAATTGAGTTACAAAATTTAGAGTTAGCAAAACGAATACAAGTAAAACTTCAATTGATTATGTTATAATATAACTATACTTATGTTAAAATAACACAATGCTCATATTATATTTAAGGAGGAGGAAGAAGTAAATACTAATAAATTAAATGCTGTGATTGCTGAATTAAATCAAACAGATTCAAAACTTGCTTCAAAAATTCAAAAAGAGGTAAATTACCGTATATATATATATTTCTTTTTTTAATTACTTTTATTATATTTGATTAGATGGAAAATGATGCTAATTATCAGCAACAATTACAAAATGAATCTGACCTACAATTAGCTGCTACATTACAAAGTGAGGTAATTATAACAAAATGTATTATACTATTTTTTTAAATTACTACTAATATTTTTATTTTATTGTTATTTAGATATCATTAGCTTTAAATGAAGAAAAAATAATTGTTGGATTTAACAACAAAAAAAAGCTATCAAAAGAAGTAAGTTTGAATATATTTTTAAATAACTAAATTTTTTTTTAATTTTTGGTTAGAGTACCATATGTATTAGTATTGGTTTTTTTAAACAAAACTTGTTCATTTCCTAAAATAATAACTTCTTCTAGATTCGGTTTCTTTCAAAAAAATTTTTTTCCCCTTTTCATTTTCTTTTTTTTTTTAATTTTTGAAAATCTAAAATTATAGTAATATTATAACCATAGTTCTAAATTAAAGTATAGGGTATATTTTAATTATCCTGTGCATAAGTTCAATTTGAACAAAATATTTGAGAAATCTGACTAAATTCATAATTTATAATACTTAGAAACAAAGAAATATATATAGAGATACTAAGTTGTAAAATAACTACCGTTTATGTTCCTTAATTTTTAAAGAAAGCAATTCCTACAAAAAGAATCAAATGTTTTTGGTAGAAATTTCTTCCCAGCACTGATCTTTAGATAGATTCTTTGCAATGGTTGCCACATGTCTAGATAAGTTAAGATATTTTAAAATTGTTTTGGAAAACTTGGAAGTATCAAAGTTTGATGATTTTGCTTGGAATTATTAAAATTTATATTTATGTGATATTTGTATTATTATATATTTTTATATTAATTTTTTTGAGTTCCTTATAAGATTTTCAATTAGGCTAAATGAAGATAGATAAGTGGTATTTTTAGTGTCCAATTCATATATATTTTAAAATTCTAATTTATAAATAAAATAAAATTATCTATGATAAAATAATCTTTCTCTCATAAAATTAATGTATATTTATATTCATTTACATTAAATATACATTTTTAAAACGTATGTCAATACTAATTCCATTACTAATTAATTTTCTGATAAAATGACTATTAAATATAAAGTATTTTTTTGGTTGTTAGTTCTAGATTTTTCTTATGAATGAAATGTATACATATTAATATGCCACTGAAATTAAGTCTAATGTAGAATGAAGTTTTAAATTCTGTAAAACTTAATTTTAGTTTTTTGATTAAATTATTTTTTGTTTTTAAACATTAGAAACTAGTTATATTAAATGTTTTTCTTTTTAATTTTAAAACTATTTAGTTGGTTATTAACATATAATAATTTATTTTCTAGTCTAATTCTAAATCTGGTCCTCTTGACAAGATGTTTGGTAAGTAATTTGGTTCATTAAATAATAAGTATATCCATTAATTTGTTATTTATATTACAGCTAATTTAAAACCAAAAAATGACAAATATCAACATTATCAGTGTAGAACTGATATTTCTATGTCTAGTAGTTCTTCATCAAGTATGTTCATTAGTCTAAAAAGTGATTATTTATCTATATCTCACTTATTTTTAAAAATATAAAGTAAAATAATTTTTTTTTTGAAGGTAATATTGTTTACTATGCTCTATAATTTTTTTTTGAATGTAATTAATTTTATCCTTTAAATTAAATCAACTTGAGTATTTTAAACAACAATATATTAATTTAATTGGTATATTCATTAAGAAAATTATTAGTTGATAGCAATTTTTGAATTAAATTAATAAGTTTTATATTTGTGTGGTAGGTTGAGAAATGTTTAATGATAAAAACTATCATACATACACTTTACTTCCAGTTTATACTTTAAATTAATTATAACTTCCAAATACGGGTTAAAAATTGTTATTAACCATTCATTTATTTAGTTAAATTATATGATGTACAAAAAACATAAGTTTATCCATTTTTAAGGGCTAGAGTTAATTATTTTTATGAAAATTAAAGTGCATAGGACAATATAAAATCTTAGTAGAAAAGTTATTTCATTTTATATTTCAAAAGGTGTCAAGTGATAAGTAGTTAAGAAATCACCTGTATATGTCCATAATATTTGTTTAATACCATTTTTATTTTATAATAGGTTTCTATTCTGACACTACGTGTAGTTCAACTACAAATTCGGGATTAATAAACGAAGATGAATTTCTAGATATGTGTACTTGTGGTCGTTTAATGGATGATAATAAAATTAATGAACCCCTTTGTAGATTTTGTATTGCTCAAATTGCTAATTTTGAATTAATAACTCAACAACATAATGATTTCTTAATTGCAAAAGATTTAGAAAAAAAATTAAATTGTTCCAATTTTGAAAATTACAATCTAAGAAAACGTTCTAGTCCATCTCAGTTGCCTAGTCGAAAGATTAGAAAATTACCAAAAGGACAACAGACACTTAGTTTTAAGATTAATTAATAGTGACAAGTATAAACATTAATTTGTATGAATTTTTCTTATTTTTCCTTATAGTTATGACAATATTTTTAAATTAAAATAGACATTTAATTAATAATAATAAAAACATTTGTATGTGACAATAAAGTGTTCTTTGTTTATACAAAAGGTTAATTTTACAATGAAAGATATTATCGTTCTTCAAGAATTAAAGTCTCTTGTGGGTAAAGATTTAGTTCTTTCATAGTTTGGGCAGCATTAAGTGTTGTTAACTATAAAACATAAATAAAATAATTGTAAGAATGATAAATTAGTTATAAGAAATTGTAAATATTTGTGTTGAATTTGGTAATATATTTATAAATATATATAAAAAAAATTACATATTAAAGAATTCTACTTACATCTCTTCTTGGCCAGCTTGATATCACTTTATATTCTTCTTGACTGAAACCATTTACATAAAGGTAATCAAATATAACCTAAAACAAAAAATAAAATGAATCAAGGCCATTAACCATATATACAGAGCTATGTTAAATATTACAATACATTAGCAATTTAAAAAAAGTTGATAGAAATTAACAAAAGATAATTTGTAAATATTCATGTAGGTATCAAATTTATTATAATAAACACATTTTTTGATCTGTTCTTTGAGAAAAAAAATCTTTTTTTTTTATCAAAAAAGTTACACTTAAAACATTTAAGAATGCTGAGGAAAATAAAGTTTGATATCAAAACAATCCTACAATAATTTACCACTTTAACTGTATTATTAAAATAAAATACTATGCTCTTATATTTTTCTTTTGATCTCTACTTAAACATTACTGTTGAACTTACTTAAAATCATTTAAACGTTATAATTTTTTAAATTAGTTAAAATTGTAAGCAATTAATAATTATGAAAAATTATGATAATCATAAATTTAACTCAAGCTAAGATACATTAACTTTTTTTAAACTACAATTATACAGTTCTATAGACATTATAAATTAAATGACATTTATAATGGTATATTACTTTTTTAAATTAATTTTTTTGTTTAAGATTTCCTTAAAGATACATACTTGTAAACTTTCAGAGGACAAAAATCTTCTCTCTAAAAATTTTCCAAGAGGTAACCTAAAGCGAATCTTGGATACATCATCACCAGGTTCAGGTTCTACTGGCAGGGAAGCTTCAATACGTTTTTTTGTAGCCTAGTAAAAAAAAAATTGATTGATTTAAAAATATTATATTTGTTGCATAAATGTAACTCGGGGTATATTTAGTTGATTCATAAAATTAAAAAAAAAAAAATTATGAAGAATCATTTTATTATTGAAATGCTCTATGTAAAAACAAAATAACTCAATTTTTCAAGAAGCTGAAAACAATTATACACTTTTATCATATATTATCTTACCAACCAATAAATTTAAAAAAAAAAAACAAACATTTTGAAAAAAAAAAAATGGAGTTATCTTGTGTTTACAATCATAACTATAATTACTGAACAAAAATAAAAAATATTTATGAAATAAATTTCTTAAAAATTTATTTTGATAATTAATATTATAATGTGTCTTGTGTTTGGAAATGTTCAAAATTAACTGAAAAAATGTCTATATTATATATAAAATCTGTTAATGTTTATAAAAATGAATATACTTCTTTTTCAGCTGCAGCTTGTTTTTCTTGATATTCAATTTGAGATCGAATAGCTTCTTCTTCCATTTCTTGCATTTTTTTGGCTTCTTCTTTTGCTCTAAAATTTTTTCAATACAATTACACTTGTATCATGTAATATTTAAGTATATTAACCTGTCAATAGCTAAAGATTGTTGATAAGCTTCATCTTGTTCTACTTTAATCATTTCTCTTAAATTCCTTTCACCTTCTTCTTTAATTTCTACCTGTTGCTGCATAGCAAACATTTCTTGAGCATTTATGAGACTTGACAATAGTTCACTTATATTACAATCCCCTACAAGAAAAAATACATATTTATATATTTCTGTATAAAAAAAGTATTGAAATAAAATTATTATTACCATTAATGACTGATAAAATTTCAGTATTGGATCGATTACGAGTAATTAATACTAAAGCTGGAAGTCTATTTACATCAATAGCTCTCAATGTAACTTCAGCCATTTGACCAAGTGCTTGAGAAGCAGATTGTAGTATTCTAACAAAAAAAAAAGTTTTGTAAATCATGTATATTATTAAAATGAACAATTGACTTACCGATTTCTATTGGATGTATGAGTCATATCCCAACCCCAAACAAGGAAATTTGCATTTAAATATTGAACCACGGATTCAAAACATAATAGCTGTGTACAAAACACATTTGATAGCACACTACGATCATGATGTAAATAAACTGCTAATAAACGTTTCTAAAAATTTATATAAAAATAAATAAATTCTCATGATTTTTGAGATCATAACATTTACCAAGTATAAATTACTACCATTTAGTATAATATATATATATATATATATAATATAATAAAGGAAAGAGTGTACTTACATCTTTAGCAGGTTTGAAACATGCAATTTTTATAGCTTGATCTAGAGTACCTAAAAAAAATTCTGGTCTCATATCACCGTAACGATTTTGAAATTCTTCTACAAATTGTATCACTCCTGCAAGTTCATCATCTATATCTTCAGAAACTAAAAAGTAAAAATAAATATTCTAATTCTGTATAAGTATATTTATAATATACACTAGTGTACAATCAGATAAATAAAATAATAGCTTTCTGATGATAACTTAAAAACAAAATAGTTTGGGCTGAAGAACTTTTAATTCATAATTTCTTTATAGATGGTTAGGCTCGTTAAATTTTTTCACTAATATACTGAATATAATAACAGTTCTAATACAATAGGAGTATAGATGGTAAAATATATCTAACTGTCAACTCTTATAACTTATGATACAATTAAAATTTCGTAGAATTTTTTCTTTTTAACATTTTTTTTCTTTTAAAACAATGTTCAATGAATATTTTTTTTAATTTTAAAATAATTATTTTTCTAGTTTTTTTTTTTACAAAAAATGTTGATAGGCTAATAAAAATTTTAGAATAAGTACTTTTTGGGTTAAAAGTAAATTAATACATAGAGTGCATATATAGCACGAGTGAAGTATACATTATAAATATAACTCCGTAGGAGCTGAATCCACCTATACTATATACTTATTATATGTATAAAATGCTTGTAACTTAATAAGTACTAATGCTAAATTTCATCTATAAAACTTTGGTAAGAATAAACAAAAAATAGTTTTTTTGAAATTTCAAAAAAAATTATTTTAATTATATATGATATATATATTTATATTTTATTATATATAATAATTATACATAAATGCTTCAATGCAAATTTGTACAAGGTGCGTAATTTTTGGAACAAATCTTTGGATTATTCCTAAAGCAACGTCAACTCTAATTTTTTTAAATTATATCCTGATTACTTATCCTAATAAGTTTTGTGATTTATAAGTATAATATATGAAAAAATAATTATTATAGTAATTAAGTATTGTGTGAAATTGATTTTCAATAATTTAGTATTGTTTTTTATAAGGGGAAATTATAAAAAGTTATAAAATTGTACATTTTGTTACCTCTGTGGCTTATGTATATCAAAATTGCAAGTATGGAATTATAAAAATTAATTTGATTTTTTGAAATTTGTTAGCTAATTATAATTTTAGTTATGATATTGAAATTGTAAATAGTCATTAGACATTGGTAAATAGGCTATTTTTTTTTTAAATAAGCTGCCCCCTTCCTTTTAATATACTTATTGGATGGATAATAAAAGCTGCAAAAATTCTCCCTGAAAATATTTATTAACAATTAAATCTTATTAATTTTTTTTTTTTTAAGGGGGTTTAAAGAGGTACTTACCTTACTTTTCTATATGACTGTTTGACCTAAAGTATAGGCATTAATAATTGAAAAAAAATTTGATGTAGAATATTATAACTACACAAAAAAGACGATTTTTACAGAAAAATGTTTTTTGTTTAACTTTGGGAGTCATTTACACTTTTAACTATTATTTAATATGTTTAATAAATGTAGAATTTCACAAACTTTTTCAAAAGTTAAATTATAAAAGTTCTATTTTTAATAAGTATGTTACAAGTTTTGAATATTACTATGTTATATATGACAAGACTTGTCATCTGTAGCCTAGAGCTACTGACATCAAACTAACAAAGAGCAATTGTATTTGAGTGGCCGTTATAGTCATAGTTTTCGATACTATCACTTTTGTCTTAATATATATATATATATATAAATTATTTTAATTTATTCATTTAAAAAAAGTTACAACAGTTTTAAGAAAAAAATGTCACAATTTACCAATTTCAAAAATAATTACATTAGTCATAATTTTTTGGGAAATTTCCCCCAATTACGAGGAATGAGGTAATTTATTATCATTAATATAAATTATCTATTATATAGGTGAAAGCTGAAAAAAAATTGGAGACAGACACAAAAAAGAAAATAATAATAAACATATCATAGTAAAACTAATACCTTTTTAACTTCGTTTGAAGCTAATTTTTTTAATATAGTCTAAAACAATAAAAATAAAAAATATTAACGCAAAATATTCACTGGATCATAAGTTATTAGAGATGTTATAATCTGATGGCACACATTGTATTATAAAGAAGGTGATTATACAGAATCTCAGTACCCATCAATTTATTGTATAACATGATATACATGATTACCCCATATAAACAATTGACTATATCATATGTTAAAATAGTAATAAACCACACTGATTATTATTTATAATAAGTGTAAACAATTTAATGAAAAAATAATTATTGTTGGCTAAGAATTAGAATAACTCTAACTTACAAAATGAATAATTTAAGAGTATTAATAGAACTAATGAATTCTATGTAAGGTTTAACTTACTTAAAGGCCGTATTCTATTGATAATTTCTGTGTCCATAAACATAGCATCTTCATCATCATCATCAATGCCACTTAGTGATTCAGCAGCATCTTCAAATGGATCTTCTTCCGATGATGAAGAAGAGGTAGAGGATGAAGATGTAGACGATGACGGCATTGGAGAGTCACTTGTTTCCATATCAACCACTGACTATGGTAAATATAAATAATATTTCATCAATATGAAATAAGTTAAGTAATGTTTAGTTTTTAATTCAACTTATAATATAGTACCTAAATTATTTAAAATAAAATATTTTTCTATAACTTACACATGAAGTTTATAAAGTCATTGAAATTTTTTTTTTATATTTATAGATTTAACATTTAAAACTTGTTCATAATGAATTAGGAAGAACAATAATACATTTTAGTCTGTCTAATAGTTAAAATAAATTTAACATGGGGATTGATAGTTGGTCATAGAAAGTGTATTGGAAATCTTGTAAAAAAATAGCCATGGTACGGGTTTCGAACTCGCAATCCAAGGGATCGTAGAGACAATCCTTACCATTAGGTCACTATGTTATGATGAGATCCCAATATAATTTAATAGAGGTTGATAACATGATTTGCGGCTGATGGAAACAGTATTTTCATTAAAGAAGTTGTAGTTTAGGCAAATATGATGATATGCCAAATATTTTTTAATTATCAATTCTTCATGCTCTTTTACATAGATACTTGTCAGGAAAGACAAAATATTTTTTATTTGTTTGTATTTTATTAAAATCTATACATATTGAACCTTTAATTCTTATATAAATAATATTATAATTTTGAACTAATTAAAACTTACATTTAATCTACTGTTATAAGTTCTTCTTGTACGTCTTGATACAGAATTTAACGGTTTCAATTTAAAATCATGAACTGGATAATTTATATGAGATTCTTCCAATGTAGTTGTAGGAGTAACAAAATGTGGCCATCCCATCCATTGTTGATTGCTAATTGATAAATGAGTTAAACTTGCAACAAATTCTTTTACATCTTGGACAGTTTTATAATGTGGGAATGTTAATTTGTGAACTTTATATTGACTTGTACTGGTAGCTTCCATTGTAATATTTAAAGTATATGTTTTTTCTTTGGACCTTAAATATAATATTTTTTTTAAATTTTCACTTCATCAACAATAACAATAATATTATTATTAAATATATAAATATAAGTATATGTATGTAAGGGGAAATAGGCAATAGTAAGAACAAGAAACACAGTTTTACCTCTTTTAGAATATTATTACATATATACAATATTCTTTAAATTACATAATTATTACAGATATACAGTGACGAGCAAAAGGGAACACTAATAAGAAAATTTTGAGAAATAAGGTTATAAAAAAACAACATATGTATAATTATATTAATCAAAGAATTAAATGTATTTGTATAACAAAATTAAAGTTTATTAGCTGAAAAAATACAAACAATAAGTAGCGAGTTTCTAGAAAATTAATTTTTAAAAGTACTCACTTTTGCACCGGTAATTATTATAAATATATTCTAGCGTTAATATTTTGTCCACAAGCCTTTAGCTTTTATCACTGCTTCCATTCTTCGTGGCATTCTGTTGATCAATGACTCGCAGTCGTCCACATCAATTTTTGTCCATTCTTCTCTAATTCTTTCCCACAAATTGTCGAGTGAAGTCGGTGGACTGTGGTACTCACTAAATAATTTTTTTTTTAAATATGCCCAAAAATTTTCTATTGGGTTCAGGTTGGGACTTTGAGCTGGCCAGTCTATAGTTTTAAATTTTTGATTGGCAAGTCATTGTTTAAAGGATTTTGCTCTATGCTTGGGGTCATCTTGTTGGAAAATGACTTCATTGTTTGGTATTGGCATTTTTGCGACCACACCTTGCAAATTTCTTGATAGAATGTTTTTATACATATATTGATCCATAGTAGAAACAATTGTATGAATGGGTCCATATGCAGTAAAACAGCTCCATAGCATGACAGATCCTCCACCATGCTTGACCATCTGCTTGATATGGGATGGTTTGAGGCTCTCGCCAGTCCTTTTCCAGAACCAGGACCTTCCGTCAGAGCAGTATCTATTAATTTTGGTTTCATCCGACCATATCACCCTCCTCGAGTCTTTTTCTGTCCAGTGTTTATGATCTTTAGCAAACTTTAACCTAGCCTTCATATTTTTTTTTGGAAATTGCGGGTTTTCTCTTTTTTTCGGCACACACAAAATTTTGTTCCTTGAGAATTCTCGAAGCTGTCCATCTGCTTACTTTTTTTCACGTGTATTGTTGTAATAGATTGGCCGCCATTGAAGATGAAGATGCTTTTCCCGTTTGTAAAAAGTGAGCAAGTCTTCGTCTATCTTGTGGGGTAGTACACTTAGGTCTTCCTTTTAGTCAAGGTAAAGCGTTAGGACAACCTTTATTTTTTATTTTTTGCACTGTCGTTTGGCTGACGCCACACTGTCGAGCCACTTCTCTGGTTGATTGACCCGAATTTAGCATCGAAACAATTTGTGCCGTTTTTTGAGGAGTAATTTTCATGTTGGTTCCTTTCACTACGAAAGACTGATTAAAATAGAAATAGAGTATTCTTTTTGTAATAGAAAGAAATGTAAACAAATCAAGAGTGAAAAAACTCTTTTCACTAGACGTCCTAAAAATAGCAAGTCAAAGACACGCACTATGATTTGGGTTTTTACGTTGTATTAATAATAGGTGCAAAAGTGAGTATTTTTAAATAAACAAACTCTCAGGCCTTTTATCTTTTTCGTGACTATTTTTTGTAAATAAACTTTTGTTTTAACCCCTAGAATATGGATTCAAAAATTTATTAAATTAAATTTATATTTTTAGTTTTGAAAATGCTAATTTTCCAAAAATTTTGGTAGTTGTGTTCACTTTTGCTCGTCACTGTATAAATTAAATAAAACATAAAAATATAAATAAAGAACATTAAAATAACTCAGATACTCATACTGTTGATGTTATATACCATTCCTATTTTCATACTTTGGAAGTGGTGTCATCTAGACTTATAAATACAGAGTGATTGATTTTGGGTAAAATACTCATTTTTTTAAAAACTAGTTTTTATAAAGAAAAATAATTTGGTTAAAAAATTCTACAATATTATGAAGTTAAATAATTTTTTTTTATCTCTTAAATGATTAATTAAAAACTGAATGACATCAGTATATTATATCAAATTTCTTACCTTCCATTTAATGCTCGAGTAGATTCACCTTTACCAGTAGTTAGAGTTAATTTAAATTTATCTGGTACATTTAATTTAGAAAGGGTATCTTTATTTGAAGGGGAATGATTGTTTGGCCAACCATTCAGGAGTTGTTGACAACAAGGAATAGCACTTTCTGCATATACTAATGTTTTAATATCATCTGAAATCAATAAATATGTATGTTGTGAAATCTATAATTTCATATAGTAATTACAAGATATAACACTTTTTTACAAAGATATTAAAATGACAGTATTGATCTCTTTAAACCTTAATAGTTAGTGTACATCATTACATTGAATAATTAATACAAGATAATCAAATAATACCTATTTTTTTTGTTGTCTGGAGAATTTTTAAATACAAATATTATTTTATCTTAACAATTAAAATTTCAAGTATGTTTTCATAATAAATATATTGATCAAAAAATCCTAATATAAAATCAGATTACATATTTTGAACATTTTTAATGTTTTTTTAATGTTTTCTTATATATCAATTAGTTATCATGGAAAATTTAAAGTTGTAAATAATTATATTATTACCAACAGTTGAGCCATCATTGACTTTTAATGTAGTAATAATACGTTTATTTTGTTCAATCTCAATGGTTATCACACGATGATTCTCATTTGATGTTGATGCACTCATGTCAATAAAATCATCTGCAATTGTTACCATTGGAATGTCTGATTGATATGTGCGGCTTTCAGATGGTAACTGTTGTGTATGTTGTGGCATTACATGTTGAATAGCAGCCTAAACAAATTTTTGAATGCAGACTTTGTATTTTTAGGATTTTATTATAGAACTTTATTTACTTACCAATAGATCCCAATTACAATTTGAAAGGTGCATCAAAGCTTCTCCAACATTATCGATTCCGGTGATAGCCTGTGAGTTAGATTAATTTAACAAAATTCTTATAAGATGATTTGATAAAATTATAATGTACCTGAAAGTCGGCTAACATTCCGTTTTTGTCTTTACTATCGTCCATTGTTCTAACTGTTGCACGTTCAATGAATCAACAAATTGTTAATTTATCATGATTATAACTTCAATAGATACCTCTTATAGTGCGAAATAGTCCTCAAAACTTACACTTAAAATCGTGTTATCAGAGTATTATAATCCACGTGAAACTGCAAACTGAATATACTCTAACACGAAAATCGTGAAAAGAACAAAAATAATCATTAGGGGACTATGACAATTCAATGAGTTAACACAAATACACATACAGAACAACAGTGGCGATCAGCTGTTTTTTCTTGGTTCAAAATTAAAGAGAGTGGTATGGTATATCAATTTAAATGGGTATTCTCATCCTGGTGTGTGGGGATATAATAATCAACAGCTGTTCTTCTACAGTGTTGTAAGTAAATGGGAAACAGATAAAGTTTATCAATATATTCTAACGGTTAGTTGCATAGAGATTATTAAAAAAAATAATGTTTATAATAACAATAATAATAATAATGAAACAATATTTTTTTTTTTTTATCTCGTAGAATAATTAATCTCACATGATCCTTCGTTATATTTAGAATTAAAGATTAAAATTTTATAGAATCAATTGTGTTGTTTAAATTACACTAATCTACTCATTAATTAAAACTGCGTTAAAAATATATTTCCCGCCAATTTGTCATTGCAGTTGTTAGATGATGTGTTTATGTGAAAATGTTAATATAACAATAGGTTAAAATATGATTATTCGTATCTGTGTAATTACTTTAATTTGAAAATTCATTAATTTTTGTGACTTCAGTTTAATTATTTTCTATCTTGTTGACTTAAATTTTTACTGACGAACTACTTAATAAAATAAATTCTTAATCCACAATTGAATATTATTTTTGCAGTTATAAGAGAGTGTCGGGTTAAAAATATTTAGGTAATAATTCCCATAAATATAATTGGATTAATAATTAATCTAATTGATTATTAAAGTAGTTATCTAATTATCACAAGATAAATCATTAAATTTATTATTTTATTTCAGGTAAAACTTTTGTATTAAACTCAATTATGACAAAGACTGTGAAAAGAGGTGCATTAATTGTTTTAGAAGGATGTGATCGTTCAGGAAAATCAACACAATGTACTAAACTTGTGGAAAGACTCAACAGTTTGAAGATACCAGCTAAAAAAATTTCTTTCCCAGACCGGACTACTTCAATTGGGTCAATCATAGATAAATATCTTTCTAGAGAAATTGATTTGCCAGATAGAGCTATTCATTTATTATTTAGTGCTAACCGCTGGGAATTAGAACCAGAAATTCGGAAGCAAATTCAATCGGGAGTGACCTTAATTGTAGATAGATACTCATACTCTGGCATTGTATTTACAAGTGCTAAAAAATGTGTTGACCTTGGTTGGTGTTGTGCACCTGAAAACGGTTTACCAAAACCAGATTTGGTTCTATTTTTAAAACTTTCATTAGAAGAAATGTCAAAGAGAGGAGGATTTGGAAATGAAAGATATGAAAATATTGATTTTCAAAATGAAGTAGGTAAAACATTTGATAAATTGACAGATGATTTTATTCAAATTAATGCATCAAAAGACATTTCAACTTTAACTAATAATATTTTAGAGATTGTATTGAAAACTATTGATAATATTAGTTGTAAACCATTAAAAGAGTTAAATTTCAATGAAATAAAAGTGAAACAAAGTAATATGTATTAACGCTAAAGATAGAGATTAAATTATATAAACTTAATAAATTAATTGTATAATTTAATTTTGACTCAAATGAAATATCTATTAAAAGAAAATTTGTTTCTATTTTAATTTAAAATGTTTAAGGCTATTTTGTGAATGTGTGTATTATTATAAATTATGAAAATTTTCTATTTGTAGAACTGAATTTTTAAGAACAATTTTGTTTTTTAACTTAATTGTTGTTAAAACTATTAGTCAAATTCATTATTTTAAATTGATTATTTAATTGTATTTAAAATTAATAGTTATTATTAGTGGTATTAATGTGTGACATTGATTTTAAAAATTGAAATCCTAATCATTATTCTTTTTTTTAATGTAATTATCTTAATATTGTTTTAAGTTATTTAAAAATATAGTGTTGAGTTAATTATATATTTCAAGATGGATATTTTATTACTTTTGATATGTTTATAGACATAATTAGGAGGTACCGGGTACGAATATGTTTTATAGTTGATAACCATTTTATTTTTTGCTCATTCCAATTAGAAAAAATAATAAAGTCATTGGAAGTAACAAAATTAAGCATTCTGGGCAGTACAATCCTTAAATGAATCCCCTTTTCATTACTGAAGAGATGAAAAATAAATAAATTAATTACATATTATTGTAGAATTATTTAGATCAAGTATTTTTATACTTTACAAAAATTAAAAATTGTCTAAGGAAATGAGTGTCTTATCCTTAGTTAATCACTTTGTATATATTAAATATAATTAAGATTATTAAATTAATTATTAACAGTTAATAAAATTAGTGTAAATTACAAAATTATAACGAAAAATGCGGAATTGATTCTAAAAAATGAGATTTTAGTGGTCAAATAAAATTTTTTCCTTTTTAAGTATGTTTTTAAAATAATATTAAAATAAAACTGTGTTAATTAATATTTAGAAAAAAGTAAAGGCTCTTATTTTTTTCTAAATTTAAAATGAATTATATAAAACCAGTATATAGATTGCAATAAATAGTGTGTTAAGTCTAACATTACACATTTATTACATAGAAACACTGTACATATTTGATAATCATATGATAAAGAAGTGGATGATAATACATTCGATAATAATTTACATCTCTGTATATCAATATTGTGTTCATGTTGATATTAATACTAGAGTTAAAATTTACGTTACATACTTTTTATAAACAAAGTGAATTTATGTAATTGAAATACAATTTATGTCATGTAACTGATTCATTCTTTTTATAAACGATTCGTCAAGTAATAATGCCTGACAACAATCCAGTTAATGACCAAAGGATACCTTTATTCTTAAGAAAACTTTGGACCTTAGTTAACAGCCCTGATACTAACAATGTCATAACTTGGAGTAAAGTATGTTCATATTTGATTAGCAACATAAAAATTTCAATTTATATTTTTTGTGAAATGAAAATGCGTTCACAATTAATAACAAAAATAATATATAACCTTATTCTTTAGGAAGGAGACAGCTTTATTATAAAAAGTCAAGTAGCATTTTGTGATGTTCTTCCAAGATATTTCAAGCATAATAATTTTATGAGTTTTGTTAGACAGCTACATATATGTAAGAATAAATTTTCTAATGTGGTATACGTAAGAAGTAAAATGTCAAGTATCTTATGGAATACTTTTTAAAATAATTACTTGATAATTTTGATATAAAATTACAACATAATAAGTAAAAAATAATTTTTATATATACATAAATAATTGTTAGTTTAAAATTAATAAATATTTAAATTTACATTATTTATTAAATTTAGTATTTGTTTAAGTTTAAATTGTTATTACCTTTGGAACAAGAACAACTGTACTTATTAATAAAATATTTATCATATACGCATATAATATTTAAGTATTATTTTATACAACTAGTCTAATAATTAATTTCAGATGGTTTTAGTAAAAGAATATCTGATGTAGATCATACATCTAATCATGGATCATCTTCATCGTGTGAATATGCACATCCTTATTTTCAAAAGGATCATTCGTGTTTATTGTTATCAATTAAACAAAAAAGAGGAGAAAAAGTAGTATGTAGTTTAAATATCTATTATGTATAAATGAATCAATTAAAATAAGTGCAATTTAATATAAAATCACTTAAAATAATTTCAAATTTATATAATTGTAATATTTAAAAGTGGCTTATGTCATAGAATGCCACAAGTCTTCTTTGAATTTTATTTAAATATTCTAAAATAAAAATGATATAAAAACAGGAATAAATTTTACTTTAATAAATATATTACCTTACTTATTTAATAAATAGGAAAGTAAATTAGTATAATAACATTATTTTTATATTGCTATGAAGTTTTAATGTGTTTAAATTAATTAGTACTTTTAGTAAAAATAATTTGTTCCTAATTTGTTTTAAATACTATGTTTTTTTATTTTAGCAACAAAATATTAAACCTGATATAGATTCAATTGATACAATTAGTAATCTTATAAAGGAAGTAAATCAAGTGAAGGATAAAAACAAATTACTTGATTCAAAATTCATTGCCATGAAACATGAAAACGAATGCCTATGGCGTGAACTTGCAGTTATAAGACAGAAACATATGAAACAACAAAGGATATTAAATCAAGTGAAATTTAGTTTTTAATATCTTATTTGAATCACTAAATGCAAGAAGGGAACAACATGAATATTAATACAAACATTTTTTTTTTGATTAATCATTTAACCCTATCCAACCTTGCTGTAACTCTGTCTGTCTGTAAAAAAATAATATTATTTCAAAGATTTTACAACTGCTGGGAAATATATTTTGCCAGCCATTTCAAATCTTTCATTTTGCTGTGTTATGTGGGCAAGCTAGTTATAGTATACTATTGGTTGTGACAGAGCCATTGGAATTTTTTTAAAACTTGAAATGATATGAATCTGTTCCATCAATAAATTCACTTATTTTAATAATTACATACTGATTAGATAAATATTTAGAATATTAATTTTTGGAAAATGCAAAATTTTTTATTGTTTGATGTTTAAGAATGTTTTTTCTAGTTAACCATTCTATTTTATTTTTATATAATGGTGTAGAAAACAAATTCGGTAGGTACTAATGATGCTATTTTCAACCAAGAGTACTGAAAAATTATTTTGTATTGTTTGATGATTTTAAATAAGCTCTATGTAATCAACCAAAAAGGAAAAAGATATTTTGAAAGGACATATATGCAGATTCTACATTTGTTACAAATAATTTTTTAGAGTATTTGTAAACTAGAAATGCACTTTGATTGCACTAAGCGATTATTTATCAAAACTGAACAAGGATCTCTAAAAATGTGATGTTATAAAAAATGTAGACATGTTCCCTTCCTACATTTAGTAATTTATTTATAGTATTATTTTTTATTTACATTAAATAATAGTAGACAATTTTTAAAACAAGAGTATTTTGGAGTAATGAAATTTTTATATCACTAAAAATTTCATTTTTTTAGATTTTAGGTTATTTGATTATTTTATAAAAAAAATAGATAGTTTATGTATTAAAAAAACCTTACAGTTTGAACTCAGAATAGTAGGGATCTAGCATAGTGGACTTCAGTATAGATAAAAATTTAACAGTAATTAACATGTTTAGCAAATAATACTTTAATACAAATATTAATTATGAATGATTAGAAAAATAATTGAAAGTATTTAAAAATTTGAATTTTGGTTACAAATTACTTACAATTGAAAAGTTACCAAAATTTTTCATTATTAAAACTTAAGTATATTAAAACTTAAAGTATATTTTAAAAGTTAAAGTAAATTGGTATAATCTTAAAGGACAATTAGCAAAATTTGAATAATAAATATATATTTGTATATTTATGTTGCTGCATTAAATTTGTTGTGTATTTGATTAGATTTCCATAAAATATACATTGAAAAAATATAATTTTTTTAGTATTACTTATACAATTTTTATTAATATTAGTGCATTTTTTAAAAAGTTATAGGTAAATAAAAAAAATTGGCAAATTTTAACAAAAATTTTAGTTTTTATTTCAGTGATCAATTACTTATGAAAAAAAAGAAAGTTTCTCTCTATTTTAATATTGCAGTTTATTTAATATAAATATATTATTAGTTTATTTATCAATATAATTATTAAGGACGCAAAAGTTCAGACTGCAAGAAATTGCATTATTTTTTTAATTTATAGACATTAAGTTTACAGAAATGTTTTCTTTTATCATTTTAAAGTAATTTTGACCTAAGTTTAAAGGTTGCAAATTTTTGGAATATCAAAAATTAAAAAGAAAAAAATTGACATCATTTTTACTTTCCACTTTACTTTTGTTACTGAATTACCAAAACATGTATATTATCATTAAAAAAATTCTTAGTGATTATTCTAGTTTTCAAAAAGTTTTTTAAAAGTAATGTGAAGATTAAAAATATCAACATTGACATTTTTATAAAAATTGCATTTTTTTGAGAAACTTGCCTTTATTGTAGGAATTGAGTATATTTTTTTAAAATTATGGCGCTGAAAGCTTCAATTAGTTACATTTTTTGATCTTGTGATGTGTTAATAAGCAAAATTAGTCCATTAGTTCATTAGATGAAGTGTTACTATGGACACACACATAAAAAAAGACATAATATAATTTAACCGATACCTTTTTGGCTATGCACCAAAGCTCAATAAAATATGTACTAAGATTTTACTCATTTATTCTGGAATAAAATTGAAAAAATTTTGTCAGTTAATTTACATAATTTTAGCATATTTACATAGCTAAAATTATTTGTTTTTTTTAGCTGATACAATTCCTTGTTACTCTACGGCAACCTAGAAACAATGATGCATTATGTAGAGAAGTGAAAAACAATGTTAGATATGTACTTCCCATCATGCATCACAAACCATCTGAAAAGGTAATACTGTTTCAAAATAAAATAAGTATAAATATTTTATGCCATCAACAACTTTATTTATGAAATAATTTAAATCTAAAAAAATAATTACTATTTCTTTTTTTTTTATTTTCATATTATAGAACACAAAATATAAGCCTTCTACTTCGTCAGGACCTGTTATCCACGAACTAGACCCCTCTGACATTATAATAAATTCTAGTGATAATGAAAATAATTCTGTAGCTATTTTCAAGTAAATTCTTCAAATAAATTCATTATTGTAATTTAACAATCTACAATGTTTTTCAATTTGTTTTTAGTGAAGTTGTTGAACCTGAAGATGTTGTTTTAAGTCCTTCTAGTGTGTCACAAATATTAAGTAGTCCTAGAAGTTCAATAGCTGAAGAAGTTTTACTTCCAAATGAAGTTATAGCTAATTCTCCGCTTGATGATTTGATTAGAGAAGTTTCCGTTTCTCCAACTGATGATTTATTGGAACCAAAATCTACTTTCATCCCTATATCCTCCTCTACTTCTATACCTGATACAGCTCCGTTATTTAATTCATCTGGAAAAAGAACAAAACATGATAGTTCCATAAAAAAAAAGCCACATATTTCAAATGAAACTAAGAGTTTTAAAGTTGAGTCTTTAAGAAACCCATATATTGTAAATGTTGAAACTGATGGTAATAACCCTCCAGTTATATCAATTCCTGATACTGAAGTTTTAGATCCAGGCGTGTAAGTACTTTTTTACTTCCTAATATAGTTTTATTTAATAATTAAATTAAAACAACATTACATTTTCCTCTCAAAAAACTATAGTACTTATTATATTTGTAAATAATACATGGTAGTCAATTGTTTCTAATATAAATTATTTTTGTGTTTGACTTATCAGCAATTTGACCTATTGAGAATATATTATTTAAATTTTTAATAAAATATTTTTATAGTTTTCTGTAGAATGTTAAATAATAAAATTAATTACTCAGGTATAATGACTATAATTTAAAGGAATCAACATTTTATTTAGATTTTTTACTTAATAGTAAAAAAAATAGGTTCTCATTTATCTTTTGAAAATTAACTGTAAAATCTACTGTCAGTAATAATTCTTCATTATGATAAATGTGATATTTACTATGGTTTTTTATTCAATTTTAATCTACATATTTATGAAAAAATCATTTAACAAAATGTGGGGGTATTATTCCTAATAAATCACACTATACAAGAAAATTTATTGGTGATAAGACTCTGATTTTCTTACAAACAATTGAACATTTTAAATTTTTGTAGAGAAAAACATGGTTTGATTTAATAAATTCTACAATAATATGTTGTTTAACAATTTTTTTTTATTTGTTCAGGAATTAAATACTTTTACTTTTTCAGGAATTAAATACTTTTTTATTTTTTATTTATTTTCTTAAATGTGAACCCCTATTTTTATCTATATAATATGATAGAAAAAAATTTACAAATAATTTTGTTTCCATAAATTTTTTTCTGATCAACCGTTTATTTGTTAAAAATTGTTATAAGATTTGGATTTTAAATAGAAATTTGTCACTAATTTGATTTACGTAATACCGGAGGCAACAATAATTTGTTTCAATAGGTTATAAATTATTTTTATGCTAATTATCAAAAATTTTCCCATTGGTTGTTCAGCAATCACTCATTATATAATATTATATATGACTGTAATAAAACTCAACTTATTAAAATTTTCAATGTGTTACAATTTTTTCATGTCATACATGTTTAATATATTGAAAAAGTAATACTAATTAATCGATGCAGTAATTTTTATTATTTCATGGTTTATAAAAAAATTATTTTTTATATTTTTGTTCTAATTTAATAATCTAAATTTAATTTGAATACTTATTGATATATAGAAAAGAAATGCGACTTATAATTAAAAACTATTAGTTAACTACTTATAAAAGTTTCTTGAATTATACCTTTGACAACTATAATTTTTGTTACATTTATAAATATTTTATAAATTTGTGTTAACAGGTCTATTCCTAATGATAATATTTTATGGAATGAAATAACTCCAGAAAATAATATGCAGCTTGCTAATCCAGAACCAAGGCAAGTTATAACACATAGTAACAACAGTTCAGTGTCAACTGATTTTCCTTTAATTATAGAAAAGTATGAAGTTTATTTTATATTTTCAACAAAAGTGAATGTTTAGAAAATATTAAAAAACTTATTAACTTTCAATAATTTGTATTAAAATGAATTACATAATTACCTTTTAAAAAGTTACAAGAATTAAATAACTAACTAGTTTTTATTTTATTGATTTTTGTTTGGATATATTAATGATATGTAATAATTTAAACTGTTATATATTTCAGGGAAAGTGTTAGTAAACATATTGATTCTGTTCAAGCAGATTTAGAGAATATATTAAAAGGTTTAAATGATAAATATACATTTGATGCCAACACATTCTTGAATGTAAGTAATATTCCCTGAGACTTTTTATTTAAACTATTAGTATAATTTTAAGGTATCAGTATTATTTGTTCAAGTATTAATTGTGTGACAATATTGAGTAATATTTGTAAATATCATCCCCTTGAATGTTACTTATCTTTTCAGACCAGAGGCATATTTATGAGATGTCTCAAAGGACATGACCCTCAAATAAAATGTATACAATGACAAAATTTTTGACCATATTTTACTTTTAAATAAATTTTCAATAAAAAAGAAGGGTATCAAAAATAGTAATTGCCTTAAAATTACTAAAAAAATTTCTTCAGCTTTTGTTCACTGAAAATTAGTGATGTTCGAACCAAATTGAATTGAATTTGTGATGTTTGGTACAGTTCAAAAATCAAACTGATTATTATTTTTTTTTATTTTACTAATATAATAAATAATTATGCTGAATTTTTTGAATAATGTAAAAAATGTTTTGTCTGAAAATTATTAAAATTGATGTTTGGTTCAGACTTGACTAAAAAATTCAAAGTTCGGTTTGACTTCAAAAATCAGGGTTTGTAACATCACTATTAAAATTATTAAACCTCTACATACATTGAAATTCTTGTGTACACTTAGCCTGCAATAATATTTTTTGTACATATCTGTTAAAAATTTATAAACAAAGTAGCTGTTGAACTAACACTTGAATTTTATTTCAAATAATGAAATAATTCAAGAAAGTTTTAACATATGTTTTTGAGATTTGTTTTGTACTTTTAATGATTTTGAAAGTAGTTATGAAATAAATAAATAAATTTTGGCAAAGACTTAGATGAAAAATAATAATTTTCCAAATGTTATTTCAAAAATGAAAAATTTATTGACATACACTTTAGATCATAAAAATATTAAGTAACAATTAGTAAGTCTAAATATTTTGTAACTTATACATATATTTTCTATTACGTTAGTTTTATACTTGAAAAAAGTTTTGCAACTCTGTAGTAAAATGATTTCTTAACTCTCATACTAATTTTATTTCAAGTCAAAAATTTTAAATAAAAATCTATTAAAATTAATAATTGAAGATAATAATAAGCAATCATAATACAATTTTATAATAGTAATTTGTAATTTTAGTTTATAAACGAGGATCCTACTAGTTTGAGTTTGCCTATTACAACAGAAGAGCAATTACTTAATGATTGTAAGTATTATTATTATTTTTACTTATTACTTTATACAAATTTGAATTTTGTCATTAATTTACTTGGTTATATATTAAAATATAAACACATCGCAATAATTCTGGAAACTACTACAAAAAATAAATAGAAAAAATATTTTTGGTTAAACATTATAATTTACAATTAAAAAAGAAAATAGTTTTTAAAATTGAGTATTATATTTATGTACAAGGTGATCCATGAATCATGAACCACTCAATTACTTATAAAATAATAATAATTTTATGTTTTCAGTTACATATAATTTTTTATTTATCCACTGTATATTATTTTTTTAGTTCATCCATTATGTTCAGAATCACATTTAGAAATTGCGCTGCCTGGGTACTCAATTCTGCTTTTCATATTGATCTTTTTATTTCTTTTATCAAAAAAATTGATATCGATTTTTTTATTTGAATGACCAAAAAAAAAAGGTGTTCAACTCTATAATTTTTAATTATAATTCGTTTTGCTGTCACGTTGGGTAATTGCACCCATTACTACCTCTCCAAAAAATACAGCCCTGCTTATGTGTTATAGAGGTATAAGCTTTTTTTTTTTAAACAGAAAAATACATATTTAACTAGCTTAAAAACTAGAAAATAATGTATTTAAGAAAATGAATAACTGACTATAAATTTTAGACCAGTATTTCAGAAGTTATTAACAATTTAAAATAATGACTGGAGGTGGTAAGTGGGTGCTGTTTTTTTATCACTATACAGGGTGTAAATCTTTCGAACCATAGTAATGTATGGGCGAGTATGCTGGTAAAGTGTAAAATAGGACCTCGTTTTTTTTTTTTTTTTTTTTCCAAAATTGGAGGAATTTTGGAATAACCCCCCAAATTTCTCTAAAATTAAAAATAAATCATACCACAATATTCCCCGCGAAATTCTCATACAAATTGAGTGGTCACTCGATTTTTTGTAACTTTTGCGCCCTCCCCTGAACTTTGGGTTCAAAGTTGGAAAAAAATTTCACATTAGTGTGACCTATCAATTTGTATCGTAATTTTACAGGGAGTCCTGTGATGTAGTTTATTTTTAGTATAAACGATTAAATAACAAGAAAAACCGAAAAAACTTACAAATATGTAATATTTATGCATTTTTATTGCACAAAAAAAGAAGCTATATTTTAAAGGTTATCTAATATTATGTGCAACTTAATAAGTGACTATTCAATAGTGAACAGTATTTTTCGAACATTTAAATAAACATTAACAAGCTCAGTGATGTACCATATTCTCATTATTGATTAATTTCGGAAAAGAGTAGTGTGCCGATTACATTAAAATAATTATTTCTAATTATCCTATTGTAGTAAAGTTAAAAATATTCATTTCAATAGTATAATTGTTTTATTTTCGGGACCTAAAAAGAAAAATTTTTATAATTTTATAACAGTTTCAATGATAAAAATTATAATCGGTTTGAATAAATAATAAAAGACGAAATAGACTCATGAAATTAAAAAAATATCACATTATTTGTGGGTTTTTCGGTATTTCTTATTATTTAATCGATTAAACTAAAAATAAACTACATCACAGGACTCCCATTGAAATTTCAATACAAATTGATAGGTCACACTAATGTGAAATTTTTTTTCCAACTTTGAACCCAAAGTTCAGGGGAGGGCGCAAAAGTTACAAAAAATCGAGTGACCACTCAATTTGTATGAGAATTTCGCGGGGAATATTGTGGTATGATTTATTTTTAATTTTAGAGAAATTCGGGGGGGTTATTCCAAAATTCCTCCAATTTTGGAAAATAAAAAAAAAAACGAGGTCCTATTTTACACTTTACCAGGATACTCGCCCATACATTACTATGGTTCGAAAGATTTACACCCTGTATATTATTGGTCTCAATTAATTAATAGTAGATAAATCAAGTATTATATGTAACTAAAAATACAAAAAAAGTTCTCAAAATTATTTTATGTGTAATCAAATAGTTTATGTTTCACGTATCATTCTGTATATATATATATAATATCTTACATTTACCCTATAAATATTTCAATTCCAGAAAAAATTTTCAAAAAAGAATTTCTATACATTTAATTATAATTAAAAAAATTATATTGTATCAATTACCATAAATATATAAATAAAATGTATTTTAATTTTTGTCTATAATACTAAGTATAAAATGATATATCTTCACAATTTTTGTATTATTATTAAATTTTTATTTATGTTTTTAGCTAAAAATGAACTAAATGTAACACATGACAATCAAATTGTATCTTGTATGTCACCAAATACTTATGACTTAAATGATTTAATGAGTGCATCAGTGGATTGGTCAGTACCAAGTACTCCAATTTCATTTGAAACTATAGGTGAAAACAATGATGTGTTAAATACTCCAGTTATTGGTGATCCTATGATGAATGCTGATTCATATTTTACTCCTTCAACTAAACCTGCTAAAAAGTAGTGCCACTTTCGTGAAATATTATTTTCTTCTAATACTATTTTATTTTATTTTATTTTTATGTTTAATTGACTATAACTATATTTTATAAAATCAATTTACAAAACTGATTTATTTTAAAACAAATTATATTACAAGAACAAACACTAAAGTTTAAAAATATTATAGCTATTTTTTTCTGGAAAATCTCAGTATGCATATAAGGATACTTATATGCATTTTTTTGTAAAGTTTATTAATTCTTATGTTATTAAACAGTTAAACTTAATTTCAAAGTCATCTTAATATATAGTTGTATTATAAGTGTCTATGTAATAAGACCCATTCAATTTTGCCATGTAATGTTTTATTTGATATTTTTTCAAAAATCCTAATTTAAAATTGTAAAATGTATAAATATTTACTTGAAATAATTCATATTTAAAAAATATATGGTTTGGATTATACATGGAATAATTAAAAAAATAATTCAAACTAAATATCAATATAAATCTCTAAAATTTTTAAAGTAGAAATTGTACTTTTAAGATTTATTCACGACATAAAAACATAAGCATATTAATATTTATAAATTAATGATAAGAGTAGAAAAAACAAATTTATTATAAATAATCAATTGTACATAATTTTTGTTTGTTATTAATAATTATTAATATTATTTGTATTATTATTATTATTATGTATTGTTTTAATGAATATTATTTTTCTATTATGGGTGATAGAGGAAGGTAAAAGTTTCTTATGAATAACGAAATAAAATTTTTAAATAATTAATACTGCATCACAATAATTATACTTTTATTTAGTTAAATTTTATATACATTAAAACAAAATGAACATTTATTAACACAACAGTAATATATTATTTTATTTAATAATTAAACAAGTATAATATAATTATAATATTACCATAATTCTTATTTCAAATTATGTTTATTATTATATAATACACTTGTTAAAATTTATTTATATATATATATATATATTTTGGGGAAAATAGACTAGGAATTAGAAAAATTTTACAATAAAACCTGGACCAGAGTAAAGTACAACTTTACAATATTCATGTTCATGTACCAAACGTAACAATATTTTACAAATTCTAATAACCTTTTTTATTGTTCATAATTATTGTGGTGTATGTTTAATTTTGATATTATGACTTAAGAATATTTTACTTGAAGCTAGTCATTATATTTCATAACAAATGTAAAATTGATAGTATGGAAATATTCTGTTAATAGTAAAAATGTATTTTTAAGTACTAATTTCAAAAAATCATAACCTTTACAATATAAATCATAGATTGTTTCTATTTTTCTATGTTATTTGATGATACTTTTCATTTAAATATAAATATACACCAAAAATGAAATGATTATTAAAGTTTTTACTCTGAATTCCTTTGGATTATCGCATTAATTTGATTATTGTTTAAGAATTTTTTTAATAAATAAATTTAGAAAAATATTAATAATACTCGCAAGTTCTAATTTAAAAGTTAGGAAAATTTTCTCGTTTTCTTACATATTTAGTAAACAATGTATACGAAGGTATGGTTGTGTGTACGAATTTAAAATAAATTAATGTTATTATTTACAAAATATACTTATTTTTTAACACATTTCAAAATGCTGACAATGAAAAAACCCTGCAAGAGATTTCTGAGACAGATCATGCCTTCTGAGTATTAATTAATTTTAAGCTTCAACAATTAATTTGATGTTCTTAAAATAATTTTTTTTAGTTGAAAACACATTTTATAATTCAACAAAATTATACACTTATAGTTTCAATTAAAATTACTTTATCAAACAATGTAATGTGATAATATTGAATATTAAACAAAAACAGATTAGTAAAAGTTCGATAATTGAAAAATTTCCTAATAAGTAAATTGTAATTCACAACTTTTAATGCTAATTAAATTTAACGTCTTAACACCATTACCTATCAATTTTCAAAGAAAAACATAACAATTTACCTATTGCAAATAAATTTTATTTTAAATAGGATTTGGACATTTAACTTTTAGTTTAAAACAAATAACAAAACTGGTAAATGTACCTTGTAGCATAATAATGCACACACACACCCCTTAACAAATATATCTATGTATAATTATATATTTATTGGCACTGCAATTCAAATAAATTGTAAAAAATCTTGTGTAGTTAACTACAACCATTTATCAACGCGTTGCTTGTGTGTGTGTGTGAGTGTGCGCGCGTGTTAAAGTAATGTAATTTTTAAAATACCGTATGTTTCACATTGTTACTATAAATGTAAAACCCCTTTTGATCTTACTTTTCACTTAATAGGTGCGTTTTACTTGTAGTCATCCCTGTAAGAATAATAATTGGCACGCACAGAAAATTGTTTTTTTTTTCTTAAATAGAAATTGAATTTTGAGAGTCAACAGGCGGCATTGGCCACACCACAATTACGTCGTTGTTTTTGTCATCTGTTTCATGTTCAACTTGGTCCGGAGAAGACGGAGTGGGTGAAGTTTGAGTCCTTCGTGATCTTACACTTTTACTGTAAATCAAATGTAATGTGTGATTATTTTCCGGTCGCTAAGTCTCTTATATGACTGACAAAGATACCAAATCATGAAATCGTTATGTAAAGTGAAGTGGGGTAAATGTAAAGTTATTTTTTCTCATAGAATATTTAGTAGATTTTATTTTAGATTGAAAAGTTCTGGTTCTAATGTGTGTTTCTATCATATTAAATATAAGTTCGGAATAAAAACTTGTGCATTGATTTAATGCACAAAAAAAAAAAAGGCATTTACAATTACTCCACTTTTATATTTCCTATGTAAAAAATGTTTATGCAGTACACGATGATTCGACAATGCGATCAGTTTTTCACTAACTATTTTTAGGCAGGTCAAATCATCGCGACACTAATGAAATATGTTTTGGCACTAAGTAAAATCGAACTTAGTCCCTCTCGCTTTTTATTAATGAAATTTTATCATTTTTAAGACAGATTACTGTTGCAAATAATTCCAACTGACTTACTGGTTGTGTTCTGTTTGATGAGCGTATAGATCGTCTTGATCTTGAGCCACATATGAGCAACGACAACACATACGTTTGCTATGCACTTTGAATACGTGCGTGGCCAGTCTTTCAGCCCTAGCCGCTTTGTATTCGCAAAACATGCACTCGTACGGTTTCATGTGGGTGTTCAAATGTCGTTTCAGACACCAGTTGTCCACACCTGACCACGAACAGAACGTGCAGCTGTATCGCTTTTCGAAATTCTTTCTACTACCTTTGCCTTTGGGTTTGCTAGTTACTGCCGAAGTTGTTGCCAACACGTTGCCCGTCGACCCGTTAGGATTAATAATCGAATCAACTGTCATCAACGTGTCCGGTGCGAACATCACCTGTAAAGTTGGTTTTTATTAAAATGTTTTACATTTCGGTAATCGAATACAAATAGAATTCACGGCGCAAATAAGATAAAAGGCATACCGGTTTAATCTGACTGGTCGGTATGGGTATTTGGATAGTATGCGTGCCTGTTTGCTCGTTGAAATTGACCACAGCTATGTTGACTACAGTCTGCTGTTGATCGTCCAGCGTTAGCGGAGCGGTGATGATGGACGGATGCGTGGCGTCTATAGTTTGCGACAAGATTATTTGCTGCGGTTGTTGTTGTGGCTGAGCATCCGATTCAGGCGGCGGGTCGCCCGAGTACAACGTTACTCTCTGAGAGGCTTGCACGTTAGCAGCCGTCTTCCCAAACGGATCGCGCTTCACCCGGCTTAAACAGTACTCGTGTTCGCGGTGCATTCGAGTGTAGTGCTTTTTTACGTGATCTGCCCTGTTGAATTGTTTTTGGCAAATGTCGCACTGGAACGGTTTGTCTTCCTTGTGAATGTTTTCGTGTCTGGTGTAGAGATCCCGACGGTCCGTCGCGTATGGACAATGAGTACAGTTGAAACGCTTTTGAGCTGGGTGCGTTTCTGGGTCGGGGACGATTAACTGCTCGTCTTCAACGGCCGCCGGCGCACTCCCGACAAATTCCTCCGGCTCGGTGACGTCGGATTTGGACTTGAGCCGTGCTAAATAACTGGTAACCTCTTCCAGAACAGGACTCTCCTTCCACGGCGTACCGACTTCGGTTCCTTGGTCAGCCGCGACGTTATGCTGTCGCGTGAGGTGTATCCTTATGCACCGAGCCCAGGCGCTCGCGTACGGGCACTGTGGACACTGAAACACCTTAACGTCGGCGTGTGTTCCCAGCCAATGTTCAGCGACGCTGGACAACAACCCTACCGACTCGCACTCTTGACATTTGAACAACTTCTTTTCTGCGTTGTAACTGGCTATCTTCGAAGTGGTCCATGATATGGTCTCGTCATTGGTCACCCACGGGTCTTCTTCCAGCTGTACGTCGCCGAATGATTCTGTGGTTTCATTATCGATCATACTCAATCCTTCCTCGACCATTTTAAAGGCGTCCTGTTCACCAAACTGCCTGTCTTCCGACGATACGTCTTGGCCGTAGATTTTTTTCGTGATCTCTTTGAACATATCCTCGTAAATGTCCATCTGCACGTCCGCCATAGCGCTCCTACCATCTAATGCCACTTTTGTTCTATCGACCTGTTGAAAAAAATTATAAGTCATTTATCAATAGTCTTATGGGAAAAATTTCACAGAAAAGTTTCATATTAAGTAGAAAAACATTTTATCTTACAATTTTAACACATAAGTGTGAAAAAAAAAACATTTGTACAGAAAATGGTTTACGCACTGCTTAAGTTAAACATAATACTAACATTATAATAGTTCACCTACACATTTAGCTAAAATATCTATGTACGTTCGAAACGTTTGTAAAAGAAGACGTTAATTATAACTCTGAACACCTGTGGAACATAGCGGTGTACGGAGTTTAAAAAAAAATCAATAAATACTTGGTAACTTTCCATTATTCGTAAAATAAGACAATTTTTATCGATTTTATCGTCAATTGATTTCGATGTTTGTGTTACATAGGCAATTTTAATCGATTGAATTGGTTGTTAATTTAAAACAAGTTCATGTTTAACACACGAGTGAAGTGTGTAAACATTAAGACGACCTGTTGTGCTTTTTATTTTCAAGTGTACACACCTGTCGTACTCGCAAAAACATTTAATTATGATAAAAATAAATAAATTTAATAATTTTTCTAGTTTGAGGATTCATATGTAATTGTCTGAGTAGTTTATTAGACACCGCCGCCGTTTGCGCGTCGGTGTAGGTGAAATGCCTAACCGAAAACGCCGTAATACGACAGACTGTTACAAGAGTATTGTCCCGTCAATAGAACGCGTTCCAACGGATATCGGTACAAGTCGTATCAGAGGAATGGTAAACGATCATATGGCAGATGCATAGAAAACACCATTAATTGATTGGGTACCTCGTACGGAATACCTCCACGTACGACGCACTGTCACCGTACATACCTTATGTGCACGATCCCCTAATTGTACGGCGCCGTCCCAGGTATTGTTGACAACGGTAGTGACTTCGATATATCCGTGGTGATTGAACTCGATTAATAGGGACTACGGGACTAGTTTGGAACTGCTAAAGGGACAAGACGCCGTTGGACACCGCAAACGCGACACAAACAAACGGCGAAACAAATCCGGTCAAGCGCATTCCTTCGCAAGTACCGATCCATCTAACGCAGCTCCCTCTGTCGGATAGAACGCGATTGCGCGTATTTGCGATTGACAATATGCTAATATAATACTGCGCTCAGATCTGCACGATATTCCTTTACAATGATGTCAAATAATTTTTCAGTCTCGTCAAATTTAAACCGAGATACTCTTGTAAGTCAAATGCATCGATACATTTGAATACTTTCAAAGAGTTGCAAGTGTCGAGCGTTACGCGCAAGGGCGTGGCTGTCGTTGGAGTATCGCTCGATCGGCTATAGCCATTCGGTTGCCAACGGCGACCAGTTGTCTGAAAACAAACATCTAGACAGATGGCGCACGTATTTCTTCGAAAACATAATAAAAGCTTTAACCTTTAATGGCAAGCCATAATAATAATAATATCCGATAGTAAAGTCCTCTCGGGTTATACTTTTACAAATTGTTATTGAAAACGGTTAAAAAACAATTCTACAGTTATATCAGCTGAGCCAACGAAATATTTTTTCAAGAGTGTAATGGATTGCAACAATAATTTTGTACCACGGGCTGACGGTGGTACGATATAAAACGTACACGGCTAGCCTGGAGGGATGACAGGGAGGAATCCCCTTACGGGATATTCAAAACGATTTCGTTTGTACTGAAACGGTGTTGCCGTATTAGTAGAGTTCCAAGTCTAACATGACAGCATATATATATATAGAAAGTGTTGTACGTTTGGTGGGAAACAATATAAAACGTAAATACATTAGCAGAAATCAGTCGGGTTCACGTGAATGATTTTATTTAAGTTTGATAAGTATCGCGATGTTACGTGTTATTGTACGTACTGTCGAAATAACGACTGTGCGATAACAGCAGGTTAAAAAACGCTAACGCGTAGGACCTGCTATGCTATGCGTACACGAATATTCTGCCATAGTCGTGGTTTCCATATCAATAGTATGCATTATCAACGATGAACACATAGTAAAATGTAAATGTTTACAGGTGTTTACGATGAACGGTAATGTACGTAAGGCGGCGTTTTGGCCGCACTGATTGGTGAATTACGGATGACCCGGTTTCCACACACACACACATGCGCCGCGCACACTTATAATCGTCGTACACTACCTTATATACATATATATGTATGTACTTGGATTGCGTACTCCTTCGTGTACACCGTGTTCGGGCACGAACGGTACACGGGCACGCTTGCGCCGTTAGCCTCGACGTTCGCAGTGTGTGCGTTGTCGTTTTCGCGCAGGGTACGCGGCAAGGTCCCTCTAGTCGGGCTAATCCGTCGTCTGTGTGAGTGCGTGCGCGCGTATGTGTGTGTGCAACGCGGCGTCAGGTCAACCGGAGAAGTGCGTGCTCCCGTAAGCCCCCGCCGCCACTGCCGTGTCGTCATCGCCGTCAGTCCTGAGCGTCTCGGTTCCCGTCGTGTCGTGTGTATGGTGAACCGCGGCCGCGCGCGTGTTAGTTTGGCGAACCGTCGTCGAAAGAACACCGCTGAATCCTGAACATTGAACGGTATACGTTAAAAATAATAACACCGCCGCGACAACAACAACAAACACTGTGTGGTGTAGTACGATTAGGATGCGACCACCGTCGGCGGATCGCTCTCCGTTCGCTGCTGTCGCAGACGTCGTTCGATCGTCGACCGTCGTATAGCGAGTGTGCGTGTTGGTTGGCGGCGCGCGCGCGCGGTTACGCGGTACGTTCTACGGCAGTGCCTAGGAACCGTGTCACCGTCGGTCGCTCGTCCGTATTTGTCTGGGATCTCGACCACCGACCAGGACTGCAGCAAGAGCAGCAGCGGCCGCGCCGGAGGCACCGACGGTAAAGCCAGGGGTAAAAGGGACGTGAGAGGCCGGTCCTCGACGATGCCATTCGGTCGGTCGTCCGGCTGTACATTCGCGAACGTCTGGAGCCGAAGCATAGCCAATACCGCGGACCGCACTAGAGCGAATGAGTGCCACTTATGGAGTGTAATCGGACTGCTGAGCCGAACCGTCGAAACGACCGGACCGTGTTTGGCGCGTACGCGGCACGTCATGTACCTGAAATCAGTTGACAATCCTATTTGAATGACCCACCTCAGAGGTGTCACAAGAGGTATGCACAAATTGCACGATATTAATGTGATCAAAAATGCCTTGTAGTGTTGTTGGCGTCGATTTTTGAATCCGTAGTGGCGGAGGCGTCGCTTTCACCTCTTCGACCGTGTGCCGCCTTTCCTACCCTCGGCCCGTTCGACCCCTCGCCAAATTTTATGCCTACGCCAAACCACCCCAAAGTTATTAATAATGAAACTTAAATCGACGACGAGTGTCTATCGCATGAATTTCGTTTGTAGGTTTACTCTAACGGCGGCGGTCGCGATAAGTAACCGACCCGGCTTAGCACTCGGTTGTATAATTATCCGACTTTGGCCGACGATTTAATCATACACACGGCATTATGTGTACTGTGTCGAGTATGAACACAATGTCATTGACTGTACAAAGTGCGCATAACAACTGAACATTATTTCGTGTAAAATCAAACAGTCTTTACAATTACTTTTTGTTTATTTAAATCGGAGTTGTCAAAGTTTGCTTTTTTTTATTCGCTACTATTGATTCAAGAATGTTTGTAAATATATGCAATGTATAAATACCTAATACCAATTCGATTTTACATTTTCACCCACATATTTAAATAGCACACGTTTATTATTAGATCGTGACAATGGTATCGAAATAAGCTTCTTTTACGATAACGTTTATGATCGTTTAGAACGCGTTGCAAAATAACCGTGCGAAATAATATTATTTTTAAAATAATATTAGATTATTTTATACGTGTAAAATACATAGTAGCCTAATGTAGTATTATAATAAATATTGTTTAAAGTATAGCATTAAAAATTTGCACCCCGTGCACACGCCCTTTACCACCACAGTCGTATTTGTTTGTATAACAACTAATTTACAAAATACGTTATAAAATAAATAATTATAGTAAAATAAACGAGGAAAATGAAATTCTAGTTTAGTTTACAATGCATCTCGATTATAGGTTTATATTTAATTGATAATATTGAATATTAAATAATATACATTATCAATTTATTATATGATATTAAATTAAAAAAATAATCTAATACCAAATAAAGTGGAACAGAACAACAACAAATTTTATTGATAAAAATAACAAATTTTTATTGTTCTGCATAATATGTGACATTGGATTTGCTACTAATACTATGTAGTTATTAGTAACTAGATTTTGTGTTTAAACAGTACCGTCGCTGAAATTTATTTTACTGATATAAATGCGTTTTGAAATATTTTCATGTACATTTTTAACTTAAAAAAGTAATTGCGAAGAAAAACAATAGTAATATTTTATTATTAAAAATAATATAAAATAAAGATAGAACCTTAAGGTGTTTATACAATAGGTATTTTATCAGTTTTTCCACCAATACTTAATCGAAACAATATTATCATCGAATAATATTTTATTATTAAAAATGTTATATTTTATCGATATTAATATTTAATTATGTTTGTCGAAAACTTGGAATTTGATGACCAGTTTTAGTAACTATCAGCTAACAAGTTATCGCTTGTTAAATGATTCGATTTAATTGAAAAATCAACTCTTGTAAATAGCAAATCTACAAATAATGGTAACTACTATCAGTTTCGATTATAGGAATTAAATGAATCGAACTATTCTATACTAAATACAAAATCGATAAATCGCTTTTGTTTCTTTGTAGTCATTTATTTTATGAATAGTTTTTAACGATCAATTATAAATCGATTTACACTTGTCGTTTTGATTAGTTGCGTTTTCTGAGAAAAAAAATTTTAATTCTGTCAACTCATGACTTATTAAAAAGAAGTCGCGTATCTAAAAAATACAAAGGTGCTATAGTTATGCCGAATAAGCTTTTTTCTATCAACTATAAACAGTAAAAGAAATAACATAGTGATGCACCATTATAAAATGCAGTCAGTTAACTATTTATAAGAATGATTTTACGATTGTAAAAGATAAAATAATTCTTAAATTTATATTTTATATTTTTTACCGTCCATTTATAAAATTGTGTATTGTATTAAAACGCTTATACGTGGCCGTATAAAAATATGAAGAAAATTTTGAACCGTGCAAATAGTTATAAGATTAACAAGGTAATAAAAAAAAAAACGCTCTATTTTTTATTATAACATTTTCAAACACACAATCGATTTTTGTGGCTTTAATAACCCATTCTGTCATGTCGTTTTGTTTTTAATGCAATCGTTATTTAATATGTTTAGTTTTAAATCGTTTGTTATTTTTTAAACATAACGGGTACTTACATATCAATTTTTAAGCAAAACTGTTACAATTTTTCTCTATTTCGTTTCACTCGACCACAATTTTTTTAAAACACAATCATAATAGAAAACGTTAATTTTTTCTGATTTTTACACTGTGCTGCTTCATTAGATTTAAGTACTGACAACGAACACGGTTTAAAAACACATAACAATCATAATAGCACAACGCAGTTTGTTTATTCCGAACAAATGTTTTTATGCCGTGGAAAACATGATAGTCATCGAAAATCTCATGATAGAGAGCTGAACTGTAGATGCTAAAACACTTGAGAATGGATACGTTACTAACTCGCGCTGTTTATAGTCATAATGTGGTACAAATACAAGTGAATAAACATAATCATTTATGATCTTATATAAATAATAGTAACGTTTACTGGCCAAGTACAATGCGCCGTTGATCAAATAATATTGATATTGAACACTGAAATAATTTTTGATATTTATGACGTGTTCGCTTATTTGTGAATATCATTTTTATACACTCAGTTCAACGCGTCTTGTTATTTTGTTATTAGAAAATAAACTTGCACTTGAAATGGATATTTTTTGGACGAGTCATGCTATCATAAGAAATAATGATTTATGTGTCATTTATGACTCAAGAGAACTTCAGTTTGAACGTATTGATTTTTTCAACCGGTCAGTTAGTTTCTATGAAATAATGAAACAGTTTCGTCAAATGTGAACATTTTTTATTCAAAGTACTAATTCTTAAAGAATAATAGTAGTCGCTTATTCGGTTAAGTTTATTTTATAGTCTATCAGTGTCTTGCTTGTAGTTGATATGTTTGCTTTGTTTGGTACCTAACGCGTTCGTATGACAAGAATTGTTGTTGTTTGTGTCATTAAAAATAAATATTGACATGTTCTACTTGAAAAAGATTAATGTAAAATTTATCGTATCCAGTTCATTTATTAAAACGCCCACATCATTTTTACCTTTTCATTATTACAGGGTTTATTAGTTTTATATCCAATAATTTGAATTTGAAAAGTTAGGTTATGTTAATTGGCGATAAAAACATTAAAGTAAGTTATTAAATGTGGCATCGAGATCACATGTTACCTATTTATAATTTTGTTTAAGATTTAAATCAGAAAAGTAATAGTTTTTACAAATTATTACTTGTCTGATCCATAGTTCTTTGCCGCAAAATATTCATCGTAATAGTTCAAATGACAGGTAGGGTAGGTAGCCTCATAAATTGACCATTTCCAATTATTGTTTCTCTTTTAGTTCAATTGTTTGTTATACTACGGTTCTATTTTGTAGACGTTTATTTATAACTTATTGATTAATTGTGCGACCGAAAATACGTAGGTTCTCGAATAAGCTTAAAAATTAAAGGTCGGTAAAATTATTGTTATAATTATTTTTAGAAGTAAAAATAATTTCTAAGAGTCCGGTTACACATAAATATTATAGTGGAGGCGCATAACTAAGTGGTCAATTCCCACCTTATATTTACCTTACGCCTGGGCTGACTCCCATTAAATTCAATATATAGTTATTTTTACAAGTTTAATTTAACTATTGTAATAAATTGTAACCATATAATCAATCAAATATTATCAAGATTAGATTTCTAATATTTGACGAAATGAAATTCCCAATTAGCATTTATCCCATTCAAATGATAATTAATCGAATTAAATGTATATGGATAAAATTAATATACATACAAATTACTTGTAACCGAGAGTTAAATATTCTGATTAAATATTAATTTTCATAAATATTTCATTTAAAATAGTTTATTTAAGGGTACACAAAATAAAAAAATGTAAATTTCTAAATCAAAAAACATAAGTCACAGTATTAAATTCGTACATGTTATTTTATAGTATTTAATTAAAAACTGAATTTTGACGAGGTCAAATTGAAAACAATACTCGTAATAATTTTTAATATTATCTATTAGAAATTCGAATTTACAATTTATTTAAATAAAATATTAAACAACATTGAACGATGCGTTTTTCTTTACCAAGTTGACTTTGTCGTGTTTTAATGACAAGTACGTTTTGGTTTGCATTATTGTTTGGATGAAAGGGCTGAATGGCCGCTAATTTGATTCGAAAACACTAAAAGGACATGCACTTAGGTTGCAAAGTTTTTCGACGCCTTAAATCACGCGTGAACAAAAAAGGAATTATTACATTCGAATGCACAGGACGCACAACGTGTCTTTGGATTAGGAGCGATGGGATGTTATCGATTTTGCCCTGCCCGTTGTTTTTTTCACACGATTAACTACAGAGCCTCAATTTTTTTCGCGGTACTCATAAAATCCAACGACGATAAATCATTCAGTTTCAATTCGTATTCTACTCACCGGCTACATAGACGACAGCTATTTGACACCAAACGAATTATCACTCGTTTTAATTTATTGAAGTTATTCGTGTGCCCTCAATTTTTTGTTCTATTTTGAAAGTTATTATCTAGACTCCTCATTTAACTAGTGCACATATATCGTCTTATAGACTTCTTTATTATTAAATAACGAATACTCCGCATATTTTATTCGATAAAAAAATCAAATTTTATCGACTTAAAAAAATTGTAAGGATTCAATTAGAAATAAAATATAAAAACAATATTTCTTAGCGTAATTTCTTTTTAAAAATATTCTTTGAAAGATATTTTTTACTTACTTTACTTACAGGGCTCATAATATAGTTATTAATCTAAATTATATTATATTAATATAAGTTTATAAGTATATATAT